TTCTGCAACGAGAGGAAAAGTCGGATCTCTTCATTTTCATGATCATCTCCTTGAGTGTCAACTTCTTCAAACAAACAAAAATATTTTTTTTATTATAAAAGATATTTATTTATTTATTTTATTTTTTTGATCGGATTTAAAATTGTCTCTATGTATTTTCAGCATTGTACATAAATTTAAGTCTTCTCTCAACCACCGCCAAAAAAGCTACGCTCAAAACACACGTTTCAATATTCTGACCAAAAGTGAGCCCAAAAGTCTAAGTACCATTTCTGTTCAACAGAAATTTTGTTAATGCCTTCAATGTTGCTATTTTCTTCATTTTTGTAAAAAATGGACCAAAAAAATTTGTTAAAAAATTTCACTTCGTACAAAAATGACTTATTTTATTAATCAAAAATCAATTTTCATAACAAAATTTCGCGACTTCAAATGACAGAATCAGTTTCAGGCAGCACATTAAGAGATTTCGTAACAGACGATGAATCTGTTACTGATAAAATCGAAACTGTGCACCCGAGCTGATGAACAATTGCTCTCGTCACATAGAGGCAAAAAACCAAAACAATGCGCGCCAGAGAGAGGACATAAAACTGCAGGGAGCAGCATAATGCACGCGTCACACAGAGAGAGAGAGCAAAAAGCGTATACGCACGATGGCTAAACCGAAGATTAAAATCTGTCGGCGGCGCTGGGTATGCGGCCGTGGTGCGGAGTTGGCTGTGCTGTGCGCGCAGTGTGTATTCATCCGTCGTCGCAGCCTCTCTGGCTCGCACAACCAGCGCCAACACACAATTCCCCTATACATTTCCCATTGTTAAGGAAACAATGAGCTACAAATTAAATTGAGAAATACTTGCATTATTATTTCGTGGCATTGCGACGATCAATACGGAAAAGCCTTTATATCAACTCACAACAATAGATCTTTTGAAAACTCTCCATTTTTGTGTGTGGAGCTCTAGCGCTGGCTCCGTCAATGGAGCCGCCGCCGCCGCTTTTTTGCCCGTGTGTACACCACCATAGCACCATTGCGCGCTCTCGTATAATAATACACCCAACTTATTGAAGTCCCTGCTTATTGTAAAATTTTCAATTCAGTCTTATTTTCGTGCTGCCGAGCTGCTGCATTATTGACTTTTGCGGCCTTTCTTCAGGCCTATTTATTGATTCGCGAGCGCCCGTTCTGATAATGGCATTTCTCGAGCAGATCGACTTCAGACTTTTGTGCGAGAGCACTGAAATGGCTTTACTGCGTGCTTTTGGGACAAAGACTCTGCAAGCAAGGCTAACAGATAATATTACATTTGATGCAAAATAAAATTCCCGAATTTTTTTCATTTCGTTAATTAATTAATATGAAGAGGGGATATAAAATTTAACAAAGCATAATTACGGAGAAAATTAAAATTAATTTGCAATTCTCCCTAGTTCTAATACTTTATTTCAAAATTATATTTACTCCTTTATGATTTTCCTCTGATATTTTTGATAATTTAAATCATCAACAAAATTTGAATGAAGCAAAAAAAATAATTAAAATATTTTACTATCATCACTTTCCATATTTTGGTTAAAAAGTTATCGGAGTGATCCTAATTAAAACACTAAGCTTGCTTCTTATTTGAAACCAGTTATGTATTGCAAAAATACTTTCAAAACTTCCTTTTGCAAAAAAAACCTTTGTTTAGTAGGCATATATATTTTATTTCTATTTTTCCCGTTTTATAATTTTAATTTTTAATCAATATTAAAAAACAAACAAATTGCATCGAGTTTTTCAATAAAGCTTAAAATCCAAAGTCAAGAAGTTGAAGCCTAGAAATTAATAATTTTCAAAAACCATTAAGAAATAAAGTAAAATTAATAATATGTAAATAAAGTGTTTTTATGATGGCAAAAAACAGGAAACAACACGGCTTAAATAAATGTTCCAGCGAAAATTCTTTTTGAAAACACTGAATACAATAATTTAAATATCTTAAATAAATATTACAACTCTGAAAGAACCACGAAAAAAAAACCAAAAAAGGGTCAAAATTGTCTGAAAAAATCTAAAAAATGTTTTAATTTTTTCTAGAAGAAGAAAATAATTCCGAGAAAGTACTAAGAATGAAAATTTTCACCTATAAGATCTATTTTTGATATAATTTTATTGTTAGAAACAGTTAAAAAATATTCCTTTTCATAAAGATTGCAAAAAAATTTGCTTCTAATTTTATTACTATTTTTTATACTCTGTTAAAAAAACTGTGAATCTCGAGATGGTTCTTGCAGGGTATCGTCGGAAACACCTTGTCTGTTCCAGAAGCTTGTAAAACAAAACAAAACATGAAGGCATTAATATTGACAGCTTCCGTCGCTTTGACAGTCCAAAAGTTTTGCCATTCTCCCTTGTGTGCGGCACGTTGCAGTGCGTATAATATGCTGTCAATTAATTTGCGCAATGTCCTTCCCCATATAGCAGAGCAGCTCGAGAATCGGTTCAACAACAATCGTCGCCAGAGCATTTCTTGAGAGTTTGTGTGCAGGAAAATTGCTTGTGCGCGCCGCTGAAGAGAGTTTGTCAATGGAAAATCAATTAACGCTTTTTGAATGCGTAAATACAATTTGCTTGACACGGACAATGCACATTCAATAATCAGTTTTCTTATTGTGCGCGCCAGCGTGTATTGGCCTGAAAGCAGCTCTCGGAGGAAGGGTATATTTGCCGTGAATAAGAAAGCTCCGAGACTTGGAAGTTTGCTTGCTTTCCTCTCTCTTCTTATTTCCCGTCTCTCTTACACGGCGCAACGTTAATTTAAACTTTACAATACGACCAATTTCACAATCAGCACGACATTTTACCAGCATCTCTCGCTCTCTTTCTCTCTTGTTCGCCTCCGAGACACATTGTTAGGAAAATGTGCTTGCCGCTGTCATGAATTGTTATTGTTCGGCTTGCGTGTATTTATTTGAAATCGACGCGTTTTATACTTTTTGCGCAAAAAAAGAAAAATAAGAAGCGCAATCTAGAACAAAATGAAAAGAGAACGCCTAGTTGCTTATTGTGAAGAGAGAAGCATGCTGATAATGCAAATTGAAAATATTGGCAAACACGTGAAAAAAATTAGCAACAAAATTGAATGAATTCAAAAATTGAATGTAAACAATGTATTTGTAACAATGTGGACAAATAAACAACAATAATAATAACATTTACAAAATACCAATTTATAGCAGAAATTTCATTAACAAATTTAAAATAAGCATTAAAAATAAATTTATTTAAATTTGCAAAAGAAATTCCAAATATTTTGAAAATTATTCTCTCATTATTTCTAGAATATATGCGACCACCTGCCTGCGTCATCCCTAATTATTGGAAATTTTTCAAATTTAATTAAAAAAAAAAGTAGACAAGAATCAATCAAAGATTTATGTGTATTATTTTTTAACCATTTTTACTGGACTGGGACAATATATTATAGAAAACAACTCAAAATTGCGGTCAAATTCAGATGATGTAGAATTTCAAATTGAAATATCGCGCATACTTTTGATGCAGTAAATTCGTCAGAGTCGATGGAGGGTTGAATGCGCATGAAAGTAAGGAAGGCGCGCCCACGCGACAACAATGAAAGCTAGCATAATAATAGGGAAGTTGAAGAATAAGGAGCATTTCTGGATGACTTTTCTTCTTCTTCTTCTTTCTGCTCCGCGAGGCTAGCCTCATTCAAACTCAAAGCCAATTATGTCCTCCATTGTTGGGATGCTTTTCATGCGACGACCATGCAGAGCCAGCCAGAGAGCGACAACCCGCGATACACAAAGCAGCCCTTCGCCCGCCTCTCGTCCTTTCAGTACACAAATGAATCATGCGCCCGCCAACAATGCAATATTGCTTTTTGCGCCGAGGAAGAAAGACTCTCGCCCGGTGACGTCACGAATTTCCATATGCATGAAGTTTCGGGGTTTATTATACACCGCAGAGGCCAAAATCAATATTTACTAACAAGAACATTTGCTAAATTAAATTTTCAAGGGTATAATTAAATAGTTTTCTGATCAAAAAATTTTGGTAATTGCGCGACGTTTTTCCCAACTTGCCTGATTACAGTTGGAATTACACTTTGCATGTTGCGTCGCTCCTAATTTTGGTGGTGTAATTTTTAAGGATTAACCGATTTTTTTTTTTATCTAAATAGTAAATAGGATCGACGCATAATATTGTATTACTTGACTTGATTTTGTACCACGCGAAAGAAAAGATGAGATTTTTAAAAGTAACAAGACAAGTGATTTCCGTTTCCACACCTTTCTGATATATTGCGATTTTAATTTGAATAATAATTGTGTTTTAAGTTCATATATATATATATATATATATATATATATATATATATATATATATATATATATATATATATATATATTTTATATATCTGAAACATTGGAATGTGACTTTTTTTTACTTTCATCAAATTCATTAGTTTGTCAATATTTTATTACTTGACAATAACACTCATCAAAATTTTTATTTAAAAAAAAAGCACAAATTTTGTTATTTGAACTTTAAAATGATGATCATTCAGTGCCAACAAGAGCGATTTGCAACAAAATAAGAATGCACTTCGATCACATCAGCATCAGCTTCACCGACTCGTGAAGCTTTGAATGATGGTAATGATTATGATTATTGGCTGCGACTGAAAGGGAATATAAAAAGCCAGTTGAGAATAAAAGAAAGGGCATCCTTCCTTCCCCGCGATTTTGTCGATATGGTGCGGATTTCTTTTCGGATGAAACATTAGCGGCGCTTCATTGCCTTGGAAAGGGCGAGTATATATTTGAGGGGCAGACTAATGAAAATAGCTAGCCACCCTCACCCACCACCTCCCCTCAGTCAATGGTGTGGAATTTTTCATAAATGCAGCACATTGGCACTTCGACCAACTTTGTCTCAAATGCATTTATAATTTGATATTTTTCAAAGTTGGGATTTAAAAAAAAATTAAGTATGATGATAGTAGATAATTGTATTTCTTTATTCATCTTAGTGCTACACATTAGCTAAAAATGTGTTTGATTTAGGAGGGTAACACAATAATCTTCGAAATCCTCTCAGACACCCAGATACACTTCAAAGCTTCAGTTAAAAACTTAAAATCTAACAAAAGGCTGGTCATATTGAACTCAAATTACAAAAGCAAAAGCGACCTCATGATTCTGGTGCTATGTTCAGTTTGTGTCAGGAGGAGGACCAGGAGGAAGAGGGACGTCCATTTCGCGGTCACTGTAGTCGCCGCCGCCACCCTGGCCATTCCTGCGGTTGTCTGAGGGCTCCCTGCGCGGTGCCCTCTCGTTGTCTGAGCCAGAAGAATGGCGACGTTCCCTTTCACGGTCGTAACTGCGCCTCTCATCGCTCCTTGATCTAGATCTGAAATTTAAACATTTCAGAAAATTAAAAAAATGTGCCATTCCATGAATTGAAAAGAAATAACCAATTTTCAAATAAAAATGAAGTCAGTAAAATGTAAAATAAAAACTCTCAAGCACCTGCTGAAGCGCCTTCTCTGGTGGAAGAATCTTCCCCTGCCCCTGTTGTTGTAGGGTCTGAAGGGGCGCCTGTTGTTGAACCGTCCTCGGAAGGGTCGTCCACCTCTGAAGTTCTGCTGGAACGCTGGCTTGTAGAAGGTTCCTCTGCGAGGCACCCAGCGCTTCCTGTTCCTATCAAAGGACCTGGATCTGGACCTGCTGTACGAGCGAGACCTTGACCTACGTCCGTACGACCTGGACCTTGAGTGAGAGCCAGACCTGGAACCAGAACGCCTCCGTCTGCGACGTCCACCCTCAGAGCCTCTGCTGGAGTAGCTGGCCGAGCGGCTGCGGGAGCGAGACGTCGGCCGTTTCTGGTACTTTCCATGTTCCTTCTCAGGGGTCGGAGGAGCTTCCTCGGGGAGGATGTTGGTCAGCTCCACCTTCTCCTCCTTCTTGTTGATGCGGAATCCTGTGAATCGTCCAGGTGGAGGACTGGCAGCTTGCTTGCTGTACTCTTCAGCATGGGCATTTTCAAAATCATAGCCATGATCAAAGCCACCCTTGTAGCCGCCCCACTGCTGCTGCTGCTGCTTGCTGAAAAGAACAAAAATAATTTCATTTAAGACGGATTGGATTAGGTTATTTGATAATTACCTAGCGCCTTCGTCGTCATAGGTCCACCGTGATGGAGGCATCTCTACGTAAGCTTGCTTTGGCCCACCAGTTGCATAGCGATCATGACCTTGATCAACATCAGGACTGTACAGAGTGGCTGGCTTTTGCTTTGCATAACCATAGTCTTCATCTTTGGACGATTCCTTGGCATCAGGCCTATTAGAATGGTAAGTTATTTGTTATTATTGTTTAAATGAGAAACAAACCTCTTTCTGCCTTTTTCCTCCATCTTGGCGTAATAAGCAGTCAGCTTACTTCCCAAATCTCCAAGTTCAGGTGCAGGGCTACTGAAGAAAAGGGTCAATACAAATCCCAAATACAAAATTTGTTGGACCTACCTCAGTTCCAGTTTCTTGCCCACTTTCTTTGATTTGTCTTCCTCCTCGGAGCTGTCAGAGTCATCTCGCTTGCCAGATTTGCTCACATCCATTTCAACATCCTCGTCTCCATGAGTCTTTTTCTTGCCTTTCTTGTCTTCTTTCTTCTTCTTGCCCTTATCTTTCTGCTTCTTTTCCTTCTTCTTCTTTTTCTTTCCCTCCTTCTCCTTCGGTTTCCTAAATAATCATATTTGTAAAAAATAAATAATTTTTCCCAGAATTGGGATCCATTGCGGAGCTTTAATTTAATTAGAGTTTCAGTTAAAAAATTAAGTAAAGGGAAATGGAGGCTAAAAACTAAGCTTGTACCTCAGCACCAAAAAATGTACGCCAACCCCAAAGAGTGGAATTCGAATTATGCAAAAAGAGAACTTCAGACCAGTCTAACAAAAAAAAAAAAAAAAAAAAAAAAAAAAAATGGCACCGGCTGCAATTTTTTTCTTAATTTATTACTTGTAACTTAAACCCAAATTAATTGATAATTGTAAATAGGAAGTTTTTTATTTCAAAGAACTTACTTCAGTTCGTCCAAGAACTTCTTGAGCTTTTCCTCACTCCCCTGCTCCATCTGGTCCCCAAACTGAGCCATGAACAAGCGGATTGGATCAGCACCCTCAGGCTTCTCCTTCTCTTTTATAGGTGTAATGGTGCTGGGTTTCAGCTGGAATGGCATCTCCATTTGAATTGGCTGTGGTGGAGCTGTTGAATCAAGTTAATGAAGCTTCAAATAAACATTCGATTTGCAATTCACTTACGAACTGGTGCAGGAATTCCTTTTTCTTGCAGCTTCTTTGAGAAAGGCGAGAGAGATTTCTCATGCTTTTCCTTGGACTGCTTCTTCTTCTTTTTCTTGCTTGACCTTTTGTTGGAGTCAGAATCCGAGTCTGATCCAGATGAAGACTTTGAGCTCGAGCTAGAGGAGCTTGAGCTTGACGACGACTCGGATGAAGAAGAAGAGGAGGACGAAGATGATCTATGCCGTCTCTTCTTTCCCTTCTTTTTCCTACGCATGATTATTAGCAAGCGAAAGAGGATTGAAAAGTTTATAATTACTTTCTGTCCTTCTTTTTCTTCCTGCTGGAATGGCTCTTATCCTTTGAATCTCTTGTCTTGACAGCGAGTCCTATAAATAAAATTTTAAATTAAAACACTAACAAAAATAAATTTTATATACCAGGCATCAGAAGTCCTGAAGTATCAACAGCAAGTGGCTTCTCAAGTGGAAGCTTGCTAAGTCCAGGAGTTTTCAGCTTCTCCTCCAAGAAGCGCAGTGAGGCCACGGCCTCCTTGTGATAGGGTGAAATCGCAAGGACCCTGTTGTACATCTGCACAGCTTGGTCAATTTTGCCTTCATCCTCAAGCCTGATCAAAAGAAGTTTATTAAAAAATAATTTTAAATAGGAAATTAAAAATTACTGTCTGCCGTATGCGACTAGAGTCTCGGTCAGGTAAGTTGAGGCATTGGCATGGGAATGATCCACCTTCAGGGCGGTTTCAAAGTCCTCAATAGCTTTGCTAAATGCAGAATTGTTTGCATACCTGGGGAGGAAAATTTGCATTTCATATAAATATTGCAATCAAATTTTGTGAAAATAACTCACAATGCTCCTCTGGCGACCAACCCTTCAACGTTGAGTGGGTCAATGTTCAGGGCTGAATTCAGGCACTGGAAAGCCTCCTGGGTCTGCCCAGCTTTGAAATGCACAATCCCTTCGTTCACCGACTGCATGGCCCACTTGGCATTCTGCGACTTGCGCAGCTCTCCAGCATACTCATCCACAGGGAATCGATTTCTAATGATAAGAATTTGTTTAGATTATGATACAAGATGGGTGATAAGGAAACTTACTTGAGAGACTTCATCATCGACAAGGGAGAATCAGGGTTCATGCCCAATTTTTCCTCAAACAGATCAGAGTTGCGAGGATTGTTGAAGCCGGCTGCCGACTCTAATATGTCGGAGTAGAGATCCGATTTCCTTGAGGTACACTTCCTATCAAATACATTCAAAACTCAGAATTAATTCAATGCCTTCCGAAAATGACTCGACACCTGAAATTGACCATTAGTGGACAGAAAAGCATGGGCATGTGAGAATCAAAGAAACAACAAGATTAACGAATATCTCTAGTATTTGGCATTGGTTGTCTTACTCAATCATCTTGTCAGGGTTTAAGTTCCACTCCGATTGCCACGACTTCGAACTGACGAGTTGCCTATCACACAAGACACACAAGGAGTTGGGTAAATAAATTAGCTTCTTGGCTTTTGAATCATTTTCATTTAAATTCATGACTTCGCGTTCACTTCGATTGGTCTGATCGCAACTCGCTTACTTGTAAGCTTCAGGCAGATCGTCAATGAAGATGAGACCTAAATTGGTGGCGGGAGTGCCAGTTTTTGTTTCTGAATCTTCGAGCATGGTGACTGTCAGTTTTTCAGAGTCACGGCCAACCTACAGCAATTTTTTGATGAATTTCAATACTCCAGCTATTTTTAAGTCAAAATAACTAGAAAGATATCCAGACTAAAAATTTGATGAACATAAAAAAAAAAAAAATTAATGCATGAACAAAAAGTTAAGATCAAAAAGATCCTAATAAAGGTTGTTGAAATATTTTTAACTTCTCAAATAAATAAATAAAAATGTGGACATCATGAGTGAAAATTATGATTTTTTGAAATCAATATTTCAATCATCCGTAAATTTTGTTTTTAAAAGGAATTGCAATTGAAGGAAACTAGAATTGAATTTGAAAGAAAACTTTTGAACAATTAAAAAAGTTATTTTATTAAATTTGAATAAGAATGTTTTAAGTTAGAGCTGGACAACCTGAAATGCTCACCTCCACAATTTTGACCTTGACAAAGTCCTGTAACATGACCTGTCGAGGTTGACCCTTCTTGTCGTAAACCACAAACCCCGGCAGCATTGCATTTGATGTGACGTAGCACTACACATTTCAATTAATTAACAAACTAAAATAAAAAAAAAACTTTAACTCACTTTAATGCCGAGATCAGCTAAGTATCGCTGCGGCCCATTGTCGGTGCACAGAACCTTCAAGGCAATGCCGGAGACATTCTTCGAAATCACCGCACAGATGAGCAGTTCACCTGGCTGGACGCAGCGGTAAAAGTGTGCGAGCCGTTTTGTCTTGTCCAAGGGGATAAACAGCTCGTATGGAGGCAGCGTGGATTCTTGCAAAATTTTACCATTAAGATGCTGAAAGGGGCGGATTGGAAAGGAAAAAATCTACCTCCATCCTGCTCAGACTTTGCTGAGCTTGCAGGCGAGCGACTACATTTTAGTAACGAAGAGTCGAAGAGACCTTCAGCCCTCCGAGCGATAAACTGGTGCAAGGCAAGGCGTTTGCCTCGGTCCTGGAAACTGCGGGAGCAACAAGTTCAGCCCAGGTGAACCAAAAATCGGGCTGATTTTTTATGTTTGTTTGTCTTTCTTTTGAATGGGGGTGTGGGGAGAGAAGAAGTTTTAGGTCCATTTCTTTACCTTGCGGACCAATTGATTTGATTTTTTATAAGATGGCATTCTCAGTCGGGAGCGTTCGGTAATCGTAAATTGGTTAATGGGTCGTGCTTGGGGTAGGGGGGATTTTGGCACTGCTGAAAGAACGAAATTTCATTCCCCTGACAGCATACAAGGAGTGCTGCTGTTGCTTCAGCACCCGCGCTGACTACTAATCTCCATTCTCGGTATTTTGTATTCTTTCTTTCTGTCATTTATATCATTTAAGAGGCGTCACAACAATACACTTAGAGATTGATTTTGGCAATCTTAAATCATTCATTTTTCCACTTTTTTTTTAAATTGTCTGAAAAACGAAATATTCGGTTACAACATCGATAATTCATTAATCTTGTTGGATCTTATCAAAAGCTGAGAGTGAAAAAGTAAAAAGTATACCAAAGTAAATTAAGGAGCGGACTGCGTCATTACCTCAGGTGTTTTTGTCTTTCCAGGTAGACCGAATAGTCAACTTCGTTCGCACCGAGCTTCTCGAGCTCTCCGGAGCCTCTCTCCGATTCCCAGACTTTGCTCAACTGTTGCCCGTGGAAATTCAATGAATTTTTTAGGCTCTCTTTGTCCATACTCTTCCGGCAGTCGACAGTCGGCTACCCAAGGACGGCTAGCTGTTGAAAAAAAAACACAAATTAGTACTTTGTTAAAAATTCCAAGATAAATAATTTCACAATTTTATTAATAATTTAATATAAAAAAACTGCGCCTTAATTAAATGAAAAGGATCGAATCGATTTCAAGAAACTACTTCAAACTCACTCCTCAAGAAGAGCAGCCTTGAGCCTTGAGTGGTTTGAGAGCCTTTCAGACACAAACTGATGCTTCTGGAAAAATTATTCGAATTCCGCAAGAGTTTGCCTACGCACGTATCTTGGCAACCAGCAATGCACAAACGCGAAATTTACAATTCAATAGATTGCAATTTTCCGGAGTGGGTCTCATCCGGGACAACCAGATTAATTTGAATATTAATGTCTTCCGTATCGATTCGTTCCGAATTTCGGCTCACACGAGGTTGAGAAAAATGCGCGACACCAACTCTTCAACTTTTCAAACTGATTGCGAGAGAGACGTGGCTGCTTTTTACTTGATAACAGAGTCGGCAGCAGGAAAAGTTGAAGAAATAATAACGAGGCCAGCCAAGGTCAGTGAGTGGCGAGATAAAATGTTTGGGTTTCCATGACGAAAATGGCTTCGGTTGCCCTCGGTGGGCGACACCGGTTTTTAAACGCGAAAAAAACCAGGAATTAATGAGTGAAAAAGGCACAATTATGCATCATTCGACGCGGCGAATTTCGAACTTTTGTTATTTTGCAATTTCAAAGTTTTACGTGAAGAATTGTAAGATATTTTGCAGATTATCTCACCATCGTTGTGTACTTCCGCGTGAGCACGTCCAAACTCCAAGCAAGCTAGAAAACCGAACATGGCCGAATGAAAATCTTGGCATTTCGGCGACCTTCGGAAACAATCGCGCGGCAGCACGAAATAGTTTTCCGAACGACCGCCAGAGGGTGCAAATCCAAATACTTGGCGCTCTGCATTACTTTTCGCCCGACTTTTCGCGTTTATGTTGTTTGCGGTGTGACGTGCGGCGAGTGTGTGTAAGAAATTAGTAGTCTAGAAGAAAATCCGCTGATAGAACAAGTAAATGAATCATGTGGTCCGCTCGTTTCGTAGTTTTCGCACCGTGATGCGAAAAGGAGACGGAATTCATAATCGAGGATTCGAAACTAAAGCTTTTAGCTTTTACATTCGACAAAAATGACCGAACAGCGATCCAGTTCAAGGTATTATAACAATTATTTATGATACATTAAATTTGTAATTATAATGTGTGGAAACGGATGACGGATAGCTCAGAGTGCTGGAAAGGAGTGTTTGCTGAGCGCGAAATTTTATGTGTAAGATTTATTTCTGACCGTCGCAGGGACATGAGCCAAATTTTTATTCCAACCGAATTTAGCTATTTTTAAGTTTATTCATTTTTCTTTACTTTGAAGGATATTAATTAAAGAGCTTAACCTTCTAGAGAACCGGTAAAAAATAAATACCCATAGCAAAGATTAATAGGTTAATATTTTTAGCTTTTTTAGTGAGCTTAATTTTTTTAAGCTCCAATATTTGATTCCGCTTTGTTCTTAGATTGCAAAAAATCGCTCTTTTTTCTTTTTTAAATGTTTTTTCAAACACGCAGTTTATTGACTTATTTTTATCTATTTTCAATGAATTTTTATCCACTTTTTTTCATTGCGATAGTTTTTATGAAGAGAGCATATAGAATTATGGCACAGTTTGTATTGTTAATTGAAATTTGTAATACGTGATAATATTTATAAAATGATACACAGAATTGATATGCATGTATTGGTGAAAGACATATTATACGACATTCTTCATTCTTCAGAAGCTCAAAAGGTTTAAATTTCATTATTATGAATATGAAATTATAAAAAATAATACGCCATTATTTTTGCCTCTTTCAATGTGTGAATAAAATTTCATCTCTTCTTTTAAAATATGAATAATTTAACACATTTTGTGTAAAAATTGTCAATATTTTTTGTAATTGTGGTAATTTTTCTGTTCCTCTATGTTTTCGTACACATCGTCGTAGTCTTCCTCTGGGATTTGTGACAAAGTATCAGGCTCTCTGAAAACAAAAACAAATAAAATCAAGTTAAGAATTTTTTTTTTTTAATTTTCAAACCGAATATTATTCCAAATTTGCTGCACATCTCCAGAATTCCAATTACTCCAAGACGAAGGCTCAATTTCTTCCTCCTTGCTCGTTTTTCTTTTCAGCCACGATTGAGTGTTGATTGTTTTTTCTGGAATGTCTGCAAAAAAGTTTATTTCTCCAAATCAAAAAATTAAAAAGTCTCTGGTGGAATTATTTTCACTCTTGAAACCAAAAGCAGATCGAAAGTATGGAAAAAATGTTATTAAAATCAAATCTAAATCGCGCAATAAAAAAATTCATACTTTTTCTCAAAAGTTTCAAGTAGAACTTCTTAATCATAGTGTTCCGAATTTAATATCGGCTTTTCCTTGTTGGGTTAATTGTTTAAGAAAAAAAAAACAATATCCTGCTCCTCATGTTTTGAGTGCAGCCGTAATTCATAAGTTGTGAAATAATTTTGATAAGAATTACAACAAAAATCAATATTATTTTAAAAAGTTTTTTTTTCTATGAACAATTTTTTGTGGAAAAATTATTTAAAGCATTTAACGTTTCAATTTTCAACACAAAGTTGATTGGAATTCTGAACAAAATTATTTAATAAAAGTTAGTATTCAATTGTCAAGTTTTGTGTTTAAAATTGTAGCCCTATAAATAATTTTCCACGAAAAATGGTTAATTTGAGAGAAAAATGTTTTAAAAGATTGATTTTTGTAATAATTCTTGTCAAAATAATTTCACAGCTCATGAATTATGGCTGCAGCCGAAACATGTAGAGCAGGTCAGCAGGATATTGTTTTATCTTAAACAACTCACGAAATCCATTGAAGGAAAGCCAATTAAAATCACCATATTTCTCAAAGAATTACAAGTGCAAATTTTCAGGTACTATAGATTGAAAAAATTCTCGATATATTTTGTGTTCATTTGAATTAAGGAATTAAATTCGTTGTACATTATTACATAATAATTTAGAAAATCCACTAAATTTGCAACTAACTTGGCACGTGTATTAAGTTGTTGTACAGATTCTGGCCGCTGCTCGGCTGGATTTCCATGACGTCGCTGTCGTTGGTCGAGTGATTGGCGCTGGAGCGGCGTCTCGAGGTTGTGTTGGCCCAGTAGGAAGTGGACGCGGAAGAGGTCAGATCGAGCTGAGAAGACGTGGAAGTGCCGAAGAACCACGACGACGGGTGAAACGAACTTCCAGAGTTGCGACCCTTCCACTAAAATGCGCACAAAGTAAGTCAAAATTCATAATTATTCATTAATTATAATAAAAAAAACGTACGGCCAGACTGTAAAACCTCTTCATCATGGCCCTTTGTTTTGCTCCTCGTCGCATTGTCGTTTTTACTTGCTCGTTGAAAACGACTCTTGTTAAAAATATAAACACGCCCTAAAAAGTTAAAAGATTAATATTTTCCAAGTGAAAAAATTTAATAATACTTGAAGGCCGTTGAGGGCAATGAAGGCGTAGGCGAAATTGTGATCGAACTGAATGTAGAAGAATCCCAAAATCCAAGTTACGCCAAGAAGAGCGGACAGTGAGAATAATCCTTTGATCCACGTTCTAAAAAATTAAAATAAGTCTAAATTACGTAATTTAAAAATTCAACCAAACTTGGCTCGGTCCATGAAGCTTTTTTTCTGCTGTGTTCCGGCAGTGACTGCCACCCTCATCGCCAAAACAAGCACTCCTAAATTAATCTAGAAAGAAATTGTAGATTAAAGAAAATGCAAAAGTCTTCCAATAAAAAAAGATAGTAAATTAAAATAAAATTAACGAGATCTCCATCCGCACCAAAAATAATAGGAAAAGACATCGTTTAAAAAAAATATTAATGTATAAAATGATTGATAATTAGTTTTAATTAGGATAGATAAATGATTTTATAATAATTATAATTAATTATTTTTATTCATTATTATAAATATGGAATTTAATTCAAGTCTAATCTAATAAATTTTTAAGCCTATGTACTCTTTAAGTTGGGTTTTCATTAAATTCAGTGGATAAAAAGCCCAACTTTTTGAGGAAACCACATAAGCCCCACGCAGGAAATGGAAAACCGTGATAGCAGACGGCGTATATTCCAACAATATTAAACTTAGGTGCTTTTTCGATAGACTTAAATTACACTCACCAGCGTGAGGAATAAAACTGGTCCCATGAATGCCCAGATGTACGACGGCGACGACAGCCAACATAATTCGTCGTTCGCATAGCCGGTGTCCTGGAGGCTGCCGGTGACGATGCACGTGATCGCCACAATCAGAATAGGGGTGCCGTAGCCGACGCACAGATAAATCCGAGACATGTCGCGACCCGTGTCGAACACTCTGACCACCAAACGATAAAGGTGGTGCCCTTCGACGGCCATCCACATGAAGGCGGCCAGGAAAACGTAGTGCAGAGTCACGGCCACGCCAACACAAACCTCCTGAAATTTTTTTAATTTACTGATTAAAAAATGTTTATTCAATAAGTGGAGATTGAATTGCAATCAACATCAAATTAGCTCGCAAAATTTACATTTTTTAGGCAATTAATTTTAAACTTAACTACAACAAACTGGATTGACCAAAATCTATTTCTTTCCATTTCTGTCAATTTAAGCCGACAAAATTTCCAAAATACCATTTATATCATAACAAAAATATTTAACAAAATATTCGCATATTTTCCAATAAAACTTATGAATATGTGGAAGTCTTTAAATAACTTTCGATCACCTGGGACAACTTGAAATACGATCTGTCGAGCACTGTCAGCGCCATGAGGTGCCCGATCAATAAGCACAGACACAAGTGTTTCCCTATAGAGTTCCGCTCACCTTGGATGCCCCTGGATTTTGTCAATTATACTTAATTTTATTTCTTACCAAAAAAATAATTACTAACTTCAAAGTGTGCAGAACAAAGAGGGTCAGAATGAGGCTAATGACACTCAGCGAACTGCAAACGATGCTCAAAATTTCCATGATTTGGTCTTTCGCCTGAAAAATAGCACATTTTTTTTTTATTTTAAATATTCGATTTTTGTGACATTTATCTCTTACTATGTATTCGTGGACGTCCATGAGCAGCGCGAAAGACGATAAATGGTTGCACTCGCAAACGGTATACCAGTGACTGGAGTTTACAAGGCGACACCCTGCTGTGTCCCATTCACCGTTCACACTAAAAAGAAAAATTATTTTAAATCTTTAAAAATATGTCAAATATTGTATGGGTTTTTTTTTTTGTAAATCAGCGTCGATTGCAAATTTTAACTTAAAATCGCATTTTTTTAAAATTTATCTATAAAAAATTGAAAATACCCCAAAGATTCATTCCAATAAGCGCAACGTCCGGTTCCCTGAATTGCAGTCGGTTCTTCTCCAGGAAAAAGTTCGTGCCAAATTTTTTGATAGGCGGGACCCTTTGATTGTCTGGCGTGCTTGAAAACCACAACTACAGCGCCTTCGGTTGCAAATTCATGCACTGGTTCTCTTGATTTTCCGTACAAGGTAAGGCTGACCATTCCAGAATTCAGCTTCTTTTTCCTTTCTCGAAAACTGAAAGAAAAAATTGGTTTACAATTTTTATGGTTTACTTTGTTATTTCCTACCTATTGATGCTCGCTGGAAACATGTTCTCGGCGAATTCCATTGACAAATGCTGACCGACCGACTCTAAACTCACATCTGGATATTTTTTCATTTTCGCAGGAAGGTCTTTAATGATAATTGAACTTTTCTTTGGATCAACATTCATGGGAAACCTGACGATGCTGTCGGATTTTCCACCTGTTCAAAAATTAAATTCGTTTTTTACCCCATCCATCTAAATAATTTATATACCAAATTTATGCTTTAAAAATTGAGCTTCCCAGTGCGTGTGATCCAATTTACTCGTCATGTTGTAAACTTCGCCTATGGACTTGGCCTTTTTCGTCACGGCAAAGCCAAACATCTCGGCCAGCTTGTTCATATTCCACCCAAGCTCTATTTTTTGGTACTGAGAAAAAAATTTAGTCGGAAAAATTCATTAATATCGTTTTAATCGAACCTCCCGCAGCTGTTCCCAAGGTTTGGTGAGTGCCAAAAGTTTATCAATAACTCCCATCGCCATTTCTAGTAAAAATTTCCTTTGGTGCAATTTTGTAGCCGGCGGATCTTCAGCCAACTCTTGCTCTTTGAAGAGCAGATCAAGAGATACCTATCATTTTATGACGCATAATTAAAGTTAGCAAAGCAATTAAGATTTAAAAAAAAAATACTCTAGAAAAGTTCAATGACGTTTCCATTTCATGGCCGAACATAGACGAGTCTTTGACAAATTGGTCGACGTCCATCATGAGAGTAAATGACGTAACTTTCTCTTCCTCAATCTGAATAATGAGAACATTGAAGTGGCAATTATTGAGTTGAATGAAACTGTCAAGCGGGATTATGCAGCCGGTTGTGCAAGCGTGTTGAGCGTGTTGCATAATTCATAAGCGCGAGGCGCCTGCTTACCAAGCTGGTCAGATTGTTGACCCAGGGACTGTTGCACTCTTCGTAATTAGGCCACTTTGACTTGTACTGCGACGTGCCGCAAGACCAGAATGCGTTGCCGTCGGCGTCGAGAGGACACGGCCGTTTGCACACGGTCTGTCCGCAACATGTCCAAACCTCGTCGTACTGGTCAGCTTGAATGCATTTGCCAGGACATTCCTCTGGCTCTGAGTGGGATATTATAAACAAATTAAATTTTTTCATTAAATTGTAAGATTTAAATCTATGCCCATTTTAAAATAAAGTTTTCAGGCTTTTATTAGAAGTAAACAAAAAAATCTCGGGGAAACTTTACTGACAATGATTTCAAATAGTTAATCGTATTAAAATTATTTAATTCCATCAAATAATGCTTCGAAAAACCTGCAGAAATAAAGTTTGTAAATTTATTTAAAATATTTATTTTCTAACGTCGTATAATTAATTTTATAGAGATTTTAGCTCGTGTTTCAATAATTCAAACCTGTTGGAGGTGTCGAAGGTGTTGAGTTGTCTTCTGTCGATTCTGATGATCCATCTGTAATTGTAGTATCAGTGATAGTAGTATCTTCTAGCGAAGGTGTGGTAGGATCGGTTGTGGTAGGATCAGTTGTGACTGAGGACGAATCTTTTGTGGTAGGACCGGTTGTGACTGTGGTAGGATCGTTTTTGGTTGTGGTGGATTCGGTAGTGGTTGTGGTAGGACCATTTTCGGTTGTGGTAGGTTCCATTGTAGTTGTTTTAGGATCGTTTTTGGTAGTGGTAGGATCGTTTGTGGTTGTGGTAGGATCGTTTGTGGTTTTGGTAGGATCGTTTGTGGTTGTGGTAGGATCAGTTTTGGTTGTGGTAGGATCGTTTGTGGTTGTGGTAGGTTCCGTTGTGGTTGTGGTAGGATCGTTTGTGGTTGTGGTAGGTTCCGTTGTGGTTGTGGTAGGATCGTTTGTGGTTGTGGTAGGTTCCGTTGTGGTTGTGGTAGGATCAGTTTTGGTTGTGGTAGGATCGTTTGTGGTTGTGATAGGATCGTTTGTGGTTGTGGTAGGTTCCGTTGTGGTTGCGGTAGGATCAGTTTTGGTTGTGGTAGGATCGTTTGTGGTTGTGGTAGGATCAGTTTTGGTTGTGGTAGGATCGTTTGTGGTTGTGGTAGGTTCCGTTGTGGTTGTGGTAGGATCAGTTTTGATTGTGGTAGGATCTTTTGTGGTTGTGGTAGGTTCTGCTGTAGTTGTGATTGGACCTGTTGTGGTTGTGGTAGGATCCTTCGCTGTGGTCGTCGTTTCTCCACCGTTTTCTGAAGTGGTGGTAGTAGATGTATCACATTGTTCTTCAAAGCACACACCCCAGCAGTTAGCAATTGAGTTAATTTTAGTTTAATTTTCTTTTGATGTGCTGGTGCGGTGCAAGAGTGCGATATTTTACCATATTTTGTTCACTCACCTGCACTGTTTCCTGATGTACTTGTTTTGCATACAACTGCCTTCATTGCACCTGAATTTATGTCATCAAGTCCCCAGATCATAAGCATGTCTATTAAGTTGAAATCACCAGAAGGTTTAGTCTAATTTTATATCCATAATAGACAATAATAAACAAACCTACCGCCACTCTTCTGCAAATAAAGAACTTGATCATAATTTTGAACTGAAGCGTCTTCTAAATTAACGACTGAATAGTCCATATCTAGTTCCCATCCGTTCCAAATTATTTCACTTTCAGATGCTTCAATCATTCCAGCAGTCGCAAATTTTGTTGTCTCGTCATTTAAGAAGCCTGATGATAATTTTATAAATTCATTTCACAGACAAATCCTACAATTTAAACTTTTATCTTCAACAATTACTTTCTTATCGTTGTTAGTTGAAAGTGAGAGTCAATGTTGAGTAGAAATTTTTGAGTTTATTTATTTTATTATTAATTATTATTAATTATTTATAAATATTAATTAAGTTCAGACAAAATCGAGACTTTTTATCTACATAGAAAATAAATTTAGCTTACGTGTATCAGTTAGCATGAAGAATAAAAACTGCCGTTCTTCCGCTGTTTCAACTGCAGCAGGTTTCCCAACGTCGCATGATGCTTCGGGTGATCCTTAGACAACAAATTTGAAAATAATTAAAAAAAAATTAATTCTGATGTTTTACCATTGTATTCGGCAATATAATAGCATTTTTCCTCAAAATGACACATATTAGATGGACATGGGCCAATTTGGCAAACGCCAATGACAGTAGGTCCGCAAGTGTCCTTAGCACCATAGCAGAAAACAGGCATGAGTTTTTGCCTTGGTATTTTCACGATGGCGCCCCACACATTTTCCGGTTTGAAAGGTCCTTTTTTTCTCGAACTCTACAAATTTAATTGGTTCAAAAGACTTAAAACAAAAGTATCAAATGTCCAACTTTTGGCTGTGGGGTCCGCACGTCGACGAAGGTAGACAGAATGGGGTTTACGTTGATGCATGCTTTTTCTTCAGCCTCGGCGCAGTAGCACGTGAGACCATTTGTTTCGATGCTGATCGCAGTCGGATCGTTGTCGCAAGCTTCACCGCAGTAACGAAACTCTTTGTCAATACTTCCGCAAACCAAACTCTTACACTCGTCAGTTTGAGCTGCACACACTTCAAAAGCGGATGATTTGCAGCCTGTGGAAAACAGAAATCAATTGCTAAAAGCTGAAATTTATCCTCAAAATGAAAATGAAATTATTTGACTTAAATAAAATCACGAGTGCTCTTCCATCTTTCCTCTAGATAGCATCAAGATATATATTGGTTTAGGTCGCAGTTTGTTTGGTCAAAATTGGTGCGAATTTCACCATTTTTAATTCTTTGATATTTTGATTATTTTCTTGTCATCAAATTTTTATAAAAGATAAATTTTAACAGGAAACTCAGCAATCATTGGTTTTTTTTTTATAATTCTTTAAGTAGATTTAAAATTAATTTAATTATGAAACAAATACCTATGGGATATCCTTTTTCGTTGGCGAAATTTCCGCAGAAAGGCCACTCGTCAGGCTGAGCAGACAAAGCCCTGTAGGAAGTGAGTGTCAGGGCGCCGAGAAAAAGAGACCTGATCAGCCACATCCTCCGGTCCAACTGAGGTATATCGTGACAATGAAAGTCAAAAGCCGCGGCTTATCTAAATTGCACCATATTGAGCCCGCGTCTGTTGTGTTTGAGGGATTAAAAGGGTGACATCGCTAAGTACTCAATTATCGCAGCGTCGAAAAGCTTGGCAAAATAAATAGACGATAGTGGCAGAGCAAACAACAAAGTCTGCCTGATGGGCACGCGGAAAGTTCATCTATCGCGCGCACGAGAATAAAATATATATGTATAAATTTATCAATATCAGTTAATAGGGTTGCCAAATGGCATAATGACGCTAATAGACAGACGGATGTTTGGTGTTTATTTGTCGGCGCTTGAAAGCTGCACGTCCTCTATAAATTAATCCACCAAGGTTGTCTTGTATTTTTACAACTAATTGGGCTGTAAAATCTCTAATATCTAATATTGACTTACTAATTATAGCATCAATTACATCAGTTTATGCTGCAAGCTCAAATGGTTAAAATTGTAAAAATTCCTCAGTAGAATCATTTTAAACGATTATTCCCCTGAAAGCTGACATAATTATGTACTAGGACGTAAAAAAAAACGCATTTTGGTGAAAACTTCTTCTGAAACGGATGTTATGCATTGGGAGTGCAAGTAGAATATTTCTGATTGCTTTGTTTATTCACAAATATAAATAATTGTCTCAAAATTCTGATGACATCCTTCACATCCTTAATTTATCTGTAAATTGACTGTATAATAAGTTATAATCACTAAAGTGTAGAATAAAACTTTACTGAATTTATTTTACCTAGAAAAATGGTTTTTATTAAATATATTTTAATAAATGTAAGCAAGTTGTCTTTTATGATAAGCGCTTTTATCTATAATTTTAAAATAAGCGCTTTAGTAATTTATTTATATTTTTTAATGTTATTTTAAAACATGTATTAATTTATGAGAGGATTATAACTTATTATACAGTCAATTTACAGATAAATTAAGGATGTGAAGGTTGTCATCAGAATTTTGAGACAATTATTTATATTTGTGAATAAACAAAGCAATCAGAAATGTTCTACTTGCACTCCCAATGCATAACATCCGTTTACTAAAATAAATAATAAAGTACGTTTCAAATATCTTTTTTTTGACTATCATAACAATGAAACTGAAATAAAATGAATCAGAAATTAACGCTTGGTTTGGATTTGATGAGTAATTAGAACCACAGGCTTTAAATATTGCAAAATGACAAAAAATTAACGAAAAGAAAAACACCCAAGTGACTTTATTCAGAGATCAAAATGCTTTTCTTCTATAACTTTCTTTTAAACCAAAATTTTTATTACATGTAAATTCTGATTTTGTCTAATATGGAACTAAAATCACTTTAAAAACACGACTTTTTCTTGTAAAAACCACAGAAATGAGATGAACAATATGGAAAAACTCGTTTTTCCTTTTTTTTCTTCATTTGATATAATTTCTTCAAAATACTTTCAACTTGGTATATTTTTTCCTCGTCTCGGCACCGCGGCTTATCGTCCGTCGGCCGTATGGTCCCGCAGCTTGTGCCGTCCACGATCTAATCTGACCGAGCGAGAGCGCAACAGCGAAACCACCAAGGACCATTAACATGAGCGAGCGACTAAATTATCCTGCACGCCGGCAAATTGGGCGGCTGCGGAAGAACGGGGTGCGCGTTCCGCAATGCATACACACCAGGGCTGGCGTGCGCTAGGTCAGCACCCAGCAGCTCCCCCGACCCTAATCTTCAAATCCCCTCGGCCGAGTGGTGCGAACCATCCCCTATCGACGAGCACCAGAAGCACCCGCAGCTCGGCACGGCTGCCAACGTGACCAACAACCCCGCACTCTGCAAATCGATAATCCGCCGTTTGACCTTTCAAATTTGAAAGTTCAAAACTTTTTTAACATTTATTTAAATTTATTCAGATTATTGCGGATCACTTTTGAATTTTTCGGGCGGAAAACTGTCACTCCACCCCTTTTGCGGGGAGTTTGTTGCGTTGGCCAAGGGTGTACGCCCGCAATATTGTCGCATACAGACGAGGGTTGCCCACACGACACGAGCCAGGTAAGTTGTCTTTCCGTTGGCCCGTCAATTAGAGCCGAAATTCGCGACACCTGTGACTGAATTCGCTCGCCCTTTCTTTCGGACGGGCCGAGCCTTTGTCGGTCCCGTCGGGCAACTCGGGCGCCGACCTTGGATCAATTTGAGCCGCTCGTACACCAAAGATTTTATTGATTTCTTGATACTGTAGCACACACGCTGCCCGACGAGACAGCACAATCGAGAAAAATATTCGAATCGCGCAAATATTGATCCGAGTGTGTATTTTTTTATTATTTTTCAAGCAACTCGAGCAGGTTTTAATGATTTTATTTTTTTAGAGGTCGAGTTTTGCGCTTTCAACTCTGTGTGCTGCTTTGGTTGGTCATTTATTTTTGTCATGCGACGCCGGCCTCTCATAATGATGTTAGGGGTGCCAAGCAAGAACAATGCCGCAGCCGAAATACCCCCCTGCTTATTAAATGACACTCGGACCGGCTTTTAAAGGGCGACCTCCCCTGTCACTTTCGCTCTCTTCAATTTTTTTGTCTGTTTTTGTCCTTTCAAATCAAGGTTGCGTCACTGTTTAATATACGTGCGCGTGTGAAACGCGATTCGCGCAACTTGTTACGAATTGCTGAATCGCAGAAGGTTTGTTTGCCTCGTTGCTTATCAACACGGACTAGATTAAAAAAGCAGTGACGTTCTGGCGGTGACGAATTTCCAGTTCGAATGTTCCTTGTTGAAAAAAAACTACAAACTATACACGCATGTGGGATGATTACGACGTCACTGTTTGAGAGAGAAAATATTTTCTTTATAATTAAATATTCACTAATGATTATGAGCCTTATTTTGAATTAATTTATATAAACTTAAAAATATTAAATTAAAACATTTTTTATGTAATTTAACACATGTAATTTCCTTCATTAAATATTCATTTTTCTTTGAGGTTAAATTTAAAAAAAAAATTATGTTTTAATTAAATTATTTTTTTCATTTTCTGACATTTTGAAATAGATGAAATATTAATTATTATGCAGGATATTAAATTTAAAGTTATTAATTTTTCTTTTTAAGTCCAAAGTTTTTATAAGCGCAAAATTTAATCAAATTTCTTAGAAATCTGCAGTGTTTGTAAATTTTGATTGGAATTTTAATATTTGAACCTAATTATTTACAGAGGATTATTATTGTTGTTTAATTTTCCGATCATATTGTTTAAATTCAATTTTTTTTTAAACAATTTATTAGAAAAGTAAGAAATTTTTGGACCACTTGCAAGAATTCTGCTGAAACTTCCGAGATCAAAAAGACTTCATCCGCCGCAGATGAAATATAAAATAGAACCTTTTGAATATATAAATATTTTAATAATTTTCAGTTTATAATATTTCATTTGGACAATTTAAAAAGAAAAATCAGCTTTGATTTGACTTTGATTCGTGACTCTACAATCGCCCTCTTGTGAGATCAAGAGGAGGAATAAGCAATCCACTCCACCACATAAGTGTAAAGTGCAAATTTTTCCGCGCATTAGGTCGTTATGCAAAATTTTCGGTGGCAAGCACCGCCGGGCCGGGGTGTTGTTTTAATTAAGCCAGGCGGGCCGGGCGGGCTGGTCCCATTGTTAAAACAAGCAGGATTAAGGTGCTGCCGTCTATAGCTCGCGTGCTCATATGCAAATAAGTTCGTGCCAAGTATAGAGCAAGAACAAAAGTAGTCTCTCATCCAGCGGCACATCTAAGGCCTCGTTCAAATATTCCAGAGCTCAAAGGGCCCCGAGTTTGCTCAGACTTCCGATGCTTGATAACCCGCCAGAGCGGAACTCGCCAACCTCTCGATTTTCATCAGGAGCGAACGAAAGTATATAATTCTTGAACACAGTTTAAAGTTGGAAGAGTTGAAAACGGAAAGACGGTTTAAAATGTAAAAGAAAAAATTTATTTTTATTTTTTAATTTTTACTCTAATAAAGAGGAAATGAAGAGATCGGGCTTTTTTCTCTTTGCGAAAATTGTTTTTATTAAAAAACAAAACGGATCTACCAGTTTCAGTCACGGTCTGCAGCCCTATTTTATGAGCAAGAAAATTACAAAAAAATCAGTAAAATTGAAAAAAAAACACACACACACATTTTAACACAAAAATACTAATAAAAAGCATTTTATTGATTGATTAATTTTTTTATCTGCGTACTTTTATTGGTTAAAATTAGATACAAGGCTTTTGTCCCATAAAAAAACCGAAAAAAATTGCAATCTCTGTCTCAATAACCTTTTAAGTATTAAGATAGAGTTATTCTTTTAATGAAGATTGCAATGATTGATGATAAGAAGGCACCGAAGGACTCCAAGAGTGTAAATTCTAATTAAATTTTAATAATATTTTTTTAAAAAATCGAGTTTAAAACGTTGGAAAACTGTTAATTTTCATAGCAATTTACTCTTTTTATTTGGGCAGGACTATTTTTGGAAGTTTTTTTTTAAGCAACACACCTTTCTGCGTAAATAAACTACGTATTTACGCGTGCAACGGGAGTATTAAGCAAGCACTATCGCTGAACCGGCACAAAAACATTTGAATGAAGATAAGATAACGCCCATGTGTGCGCGTTTATTCAATTTGTTTGTGTGTTAGTTATGCAAGATCTTGAATGCAGAATGAACGGTAAACAGTTTGCACGGCAAACTTTGCAGCAAATTTTCAATACCTCAAAAATTTCCAATTTTTTCCCCCAAAATTTAGAATATTTGTGTAATTCAGTGAAATTATAAAAACATTTCCCATGAAGCTTAAAAATTGCCCTAAATACCGGTAAAATTCAATCATTTTTAATAATTTCATTTATGAATTTTGTCGATTGAAATTTTTCTCATCATTTTTAAACACAATAATTCATTTTTCGTCCTGCCTTCATTTTCTTTCTATTTGATTTACTTGGTTAATTTTATCACTGACCCCCGGTCTGCTGACGAGAGATACTCGCTTGTTATGAGCTTTCGTAATAACTCGAGCGCATCAACGAGCGCACCCCAGAAGTGTCGGGCGTTAATTGCATTTAATTTTATACAATGCAGCAGCAGCAGCTCGCGCGCGCTCTTCAGAGAAATGAAAACGCGAGGCTGCTTGCCGAGTGCAAACAATCTCTGCTCATTAAACCCATCAGTGCACCAGCGAGCAGCCGACGAGACACAAGAGCGTTCTTTTCGCCGCTGCCCTTTTTTCAAAAACCAAAAATATCACGTAATTTTTCAAGTATGAAGAACCACCGAAAGGCTTCCTCTGCGGTTTTGAAAGGCTAATAACGACTAATAATAGCACTCGAGCAGGTCAGTCAAGACATGCGATGTCGCTCATAAATTTTAATATACCCAACGAACGTTCAAGAAAAATTATTACATAAATTAATAACAATAATAACGTATTTATTTGATATAATTTTTATTAATATATTCCTTTTCACAAATTTCTTTTTCCTTTTCACAGCATAAATAATCTTTCACGCTTTTAAAATATTTAAAATCCGTTTGCCTCAGTTTTAAATTATCTACGTAACTAAAATCAAATAATTTTTTTTTAAATTAGGTTGGGACTTGAATTTGTTAGTTTTAAGTTTTTAAAATTTCTATGTCAAAATGTGGTGTTTTTCAATTTTGCTGATTTTTTGTATTTTTCTTGCTCATGAAACAGGGTCGCAGACCGTGACCAGAACTAGAAGAGCCATTTTATTTTTAATAGAAACAATTTTCTGCAACGTTGAAAAGTCCGATCGCTTCATTTCCAATTTTTTTAAAGTTAACAATTTGTTAACAAGTTTATCTTGATAATTTTGGATCCAATCACTTTCAATTTGCAAAATATAAATTAAATTGCTCAGAATTCTATTTTTATCTTTTATTTTTGGACCCAACAGCAGAAATATGATTTATGGGCGCAGGAAGTTGAGGCCAAACGTTGTCGAGACTTGATGACCCTGCGCGTGAACATTGAAATTGATATTGATTCGCGTCGTAAAAAAGTCCATCCAGAATAGAATGTGTTGCTGGATAATTCACGAGGGCTGGGCGTCATGTGATAACGGCTCTGCCCCGCCCGCCGCCTTCAGGTCAGGAGACTGTGATAAATTGACAGTCAATATAGTTCTGACGTTTCTGGAGTCTTCCTTTTATATGTTTACGTGATGTGTCATTTTACTCGAAATTTGTTCAATCTAACTCGGAATTCACGAACTTTTATGGAACTTTTTCCTTAAAAAAAATATCCAGTTTTTTTTAAATTAAGGCATCAATTTTTCTTAGCAAAGCCAAATATTATAGTTTTAAGAGAATAACCGAGAATAACTATGTTAAAAAATTATTTCGTGTTGAAAATAATGTTTAAAAATTTGTTAAAAATGAAATTTCTAGCAACACTTGACATGCAGATGAATTTTTCAAAGAAATCATGCATTTTTTGGTTGTAAAAATGAAGATCTGACTGTTTGAAAGTGCTAAAAATATTTTAAATACTAGAATTTATAGAAGTAAAATTAAGATTTTCTACTTGCAGGACTCGAAATTTGAAAATAGGACGCTAAAATAATCAGTAAATGATTTGATATAAATTGTAGAGCACCAAAGTATCATTTGAAAAAAAAAATATTATTGCAATGTAAGCAAACATCTGGTTTAAACAGTTTGAAAACGACATAAAAAAATTAACAATTTTTTTAATTAATTTTATTCAATTCATTAAAACTTTTAAATCTACAGAGAGGTTTTTGATATGAAAATATAAATTGATATTAACTTGTTGACAAATTGTCAGAAATTTCATTAATAAAATTACGTGCCCCAGATGATTTGATTATGAAGGGTCTGAATTAACAAAAGCACCCCTTTGAGGGTTTCGAGGTCATCAAATTAAGTTACATGTTTGAGAGGTCGTGACGCGCGGCGCTTGCAGACAATTTGCGAAACGATGTAAATGGTGTTGCCTTTTGTTGACAGGATGTGGGAGTGGGCGTACGTCGGCATCAACGCTTCGTTGCCCGGGGATGGCGGCCCTGAGTGTGCAGCTTACCTCAGCAAAAGGGTCATTTGGGTGAGTTTGTGTTGTTTTTAATTTAATCACAACTTCTTGTTATTAAAATAAAACGCTGCAGCAAAAGTGGACGAAAAAAAATAATGTCAAGTGCTGAAGGGGTTTTGCGCGCGCGTGTGTACGATATTGCGGCGCGTGTAACGGGAAAGAGGGCTCGCAAAATATGGGTGCTTTTTATTTAATCTGGCGCGGCGGCAAAACCCACAGCCAGGCGATAAAACTTTATCTCTCCCGCTGTTACAATCTGTATATCCACTGCGCGTACAAAAGCACTGTGGAAAGTGCGCCAAAAACCGTTAAAAATTAATCAACTGAATAAACGCTGAAGCGGTTTATTTTTAGAAGGGACAGATTTCATTTGAATCGAAAAAAATACCCTTTTAAAAACAAGAAGGGTTGTTTCAAATACACACAAAATGTTTTAATTTATCAAAATTTGTTTTGATTTTTGTTCAATTTTGATTATAAATTTTTGTATGATCTAAAAATATTTTTTTTTTACATTTTTAAAATTTGGCTTTTTTAGGCTTTTTATTGACAAATTCAGAATTTTTAACTATGGTTAACAGCATGTTGATAGTTAATAAAAAAAATTTACTATTCAATCGACTAAAGAATTAAAAGTGCGACCTGTTTGAAAAAAAAAATTAAAAACCAATGCCAAAATCAGTTTCAGAAAAAATAAAATTTTATAAAAATATTTAATTTTTAAATGGCTTTTACGTGATTTTACTGAAACTGCGCGAGAAAATAGAAAAACTTGGATTTTAAGAACGGAATGCAAACCAAAATTTGAACTTTTAACTGCGAAAATCAATTTTTAAATGTCTCAAAAATTAATCACATTTTGTGTCACAAAAAAATATAAAACTCACTATTTGAAAATAAAAGTATTAAAATGTTTTGTTTTTGAAATTAAATCGTTTCCGTGAAAATGGAAAATTTTTAATATTAAAAATAAATTAAAAAAAATAATTGACTTGGATGAATTACTAAAAAAATTAACTTGGTCATTCAATGATATCAGATTTAGAAAAAAATGAGATGTCTGAAGCATGTCTGGAGCAGAGTTCCTTGATCTTCTTGACCCATTTTTTTTTATAATCACGCTGGTCATTTGGTAAATCTTTGAAGGGTACGAATTGGTGTCGCAGGTCGAGACAGTTTACACGAGCATCCTCGCGTCCCTGCTGATCGCATGGGGTTGGCGCCACGTGACCTTTTGCCAACCGCCCGACTACAAAGCGCCTATGCCTCACCGTCCAGTCTACACGCAACGGCAGCTGCAGACCAAGACCTACCTTTTGCTGGCCTACAGCTTCATTTGGGGCGTCGAGGTCGGCTTCAAGTTTGCCTCGCAAACTGTCCTGTACCTTTTCAACCCTTGTCACATCGTGACCATGATGCAGGTCGGTTTTTGACAAATTTATTGGCAGTGACAACTTTTTAAATTCCATTTTAAATTAAATAAATAATCAATCAATTAATTACATCTCAGTTTAATTCATTTTAAAAATCATAGTTGTACCTTTTGGCCGCACCTCCAAGTAAAACTGCAAGTGGATGGTTTCGTCTCCACCTAAACTACCTTAACGGTGCCATCCTGGCTTTTGTTTTTCCTGTTACAGACTCAAGACAGGTAACTCAATTTTTATCTTAATGATTTAGAAACCTTTTTTAAATTTATCGTGCATAATAAAATTGCAGCTACCTTTTGAGACTGTGACATATTGGTTGCAACACTCAATGATGCTCATTGTACCTGCTTATCTCATCAAAATGAAAGGTACACATTTCTTTTCAAATATTAATTAAATCATTTTAAAATTAAAATATTCATATTTTGTTTTCAAAAAATTTGAAATTCTAATTGTGCTTTTTGCGACAATTTATGCAACCGGCTCGACATGCGTGTCGAGCTGGTTGCCGTTGCGCCTTAATAACCGCTTTTGTTGTCCACAAACATAGGCGCAGCACTTTTGTTTGACTTATTGTTGGTTTTATGTGGCGTGTAATTACTCAAAGCCGCAAATCGTGTTTCAGGCGTTTACACAGTCGAGTCTGTCCGTGATTTCAGCTGGAACGCCTTGGCCTACGGTTTCATTTTATTTTACCACTTTATCGTCCTTAATTTTGTTGGAAGAGTGAGTTTGTTTTTATTATCTCATTATACAATTTATAATATCATGTTTTTTCTTTCTTATCGAACAGCCATTTGAAGTGAATTTGAACCACATGCTATGTCCCTTGCCGGCCGACCCTTTCAATGGGCAATGGTACCGGTCGGCAGCTGTTGTCCACGAAGCTCTCCTCTGCCCCCTGTGCAGCAAGATGATGTGCCTTTACCAGGACTTCATAAATAAGGTAATGAAATGAAACAAAATATTTAAAAATTGATATTAACTTTAAATTTACTTCATCAGGGAGACATTTATGAAATCGAGAGTGCCAAAGACAAGAATCAAACTGCGGAAAAGTCTCGTTGCGGAAGAGCGCCTGGAGAGAACGGGTCAGCAACTCGGAAACTCTCGCATGTGGAGTAAGAGCTGCAAGCTGTGGCTCAAATGATCTCACTTTCATTGGGAAAAGCGCTCAGTGGATGAAAACCACAGCTATTACTCAAGTGTTAATTAATTTATTGACTGCGAAACGGTAACTTTGTAGAACGGCCTTAAGCGCAAAGTCTGTCAAGTTGGCATGTTGTAGGTTTGCCAAGGGAATTTTAAAAATATGTAATATGATTTAGTCATTTTTTTAGTGTGTAAAATCGGCTTTAGATTCACGTATTGTTAAAAAGAAAAACTCATCGGAGGTTGTGACCAAATTTTAATTCGAGCGATGCAGAGAGATTAGCTCAGTTGAAGCACTTCTCATGGTAGAATCTTCGCCTGGTGCGTTAGGTGCTGGAAAATGTGTGAATTCATTTCTTACCGTAAGGCGACGTAAAAAATCAAATTGTTGAATATCTTGTAGCGAAAATTGTACGAAAATAACCTTGCATGTGACTTGTATCAAATCATGAAGGCAGAGAAGAGTGGAATATTTACAATTTTACATAAATCGTGGCCTCTCTTATATAGAAATGTAATGTGATAGGATTGCGATTTGATATAGTTGAGATCTAATATGAAATGGCAAAGTTGCGATTTGATTATTTGTTGCTCATCAGATGAGCTGCATATATACTTGTTACATTAGACGTATCAAAAAAGTTGAGATTGACAAATTTCTGAAAATTGGTTGGCTTTGAAAAAAATGTGTTGATTTAGAACATTTTGCAATAATTAAAATCAAATAGGAAAGATTCTGAAAGGCTCTGTTGTAAAGAGCCAACAAATTTTATTGCATCCAATTTCTACCAAAGTTGAAGACCAAAGAGGTAGCCGTGAATATAATAATGCAAAAATGAATTCTACGATAAACTTTGGATAGTCTGAGAATTCCGTCATAGTCACAAGCAAATGACTTTAGTCTGCCATTTTGCTTATAATATGTCAGTTTTTTTTCTTCATTTTGAAATACATTTTGTGATATTAATTTATGCACTCATTAGCATACTTTGTGCCATTGTTATACTTGCAAGTTTCTTTCCTTCCATGCTGTAGTTCATTTGTCATTTGATTCCAAATATGGAGACAATACAATTTATACCTTCAAATTCTATATCTACCCCTACATTCGCATTAAGCTGTGATTTAAACATTATATTATAGGGGATAAGTATATCAAAATGTTGCTTATATTTAAAAAAAAAAAATGACAGTTAAACAATGAAAAAAGTCTCGAGTTGAATAGAAATATAGCATATAATATAAATTATATTAGATGCTCATAACTTTGAGCAGTTTCTTTGTTCACCTTGTATAGAAGACCATTACTAGTCTTTCAAAACTGTGTAACTCAATTATCATCAAATTATTATTTAGATCTTGTCTCTCAATAAATCAATAAAAAAAAATGCCATTTTCATAGCCACTCTGGTATTTTTTTTTTTAATTTTGATTGTTCCTTTAATTGTAAGAAATAAATGATGAAAGATTTGCTGGAAAAATTGATCTTTATTAACGTAACACACATTCCTAAACAAAATAGGCAATTATGAGCATAAAAAATGGCATAAAATAGATCTCTTGCGACCCACAACAAAAATCAACAATAGTTTACGAGACTAAAATCAACGTGGTGCTAATTTTTCTCCTTATCGAGAAGTAGTGCATTGGTCCTGACAGTTAAAATATATCACATATACAAAATGTTTGAAGATCGGGAAACAAAAATTCCTAATCCCTCAACGAAACCCAACAGTCATGGCTAAAAAAAGTCTACCAAATTTATAATTTATTCTCATTCACTCAGATGGCCCAAGATGGTTCAGATACGTTTTGATGTGGTTAATGAAACAATAAAAGAGCCCCTAAAAAATTTAAAATCATTTATCTTCCCCCTCAGTTGGTGCCGTCTGCTGTGTCGAAGGAGCGGTGCCCGGAGCCAGCTCAGGGTTCAGATGTGCAAGGGTGCGCAGGGCTTCTGCGATTTGGTGCGGACTCAATCTTTGTGCAATTTGGACCATGGCGTCGAGAGCAACTTCCGGGCACTCCTGAATTTTAAAAATAAAGAGACAAAAATTAATATAAAATCTACATTTTGTCAAAAATACACTTACAATCAGAGCTGCAGTTACTTTGCGAACGACAGCGTCTCTGTGAACACAACGAATATTTTCTTGGACGATGGATGAGCTGCGAGATCTCTCATCCAGCTGCTTCAAGAGCCATTTGACGATTTCCTCGTTCGAATCCCACAAATGAACCTGAAAATTTATTTTAAAAATAATAAGAATTTATTTTAAATCAATTTTAAATTATCCGTACCTGAGACTGGCCTCTGTCCTCGACGAACCATCTCCTCAGCATAGCCTCAGTCTGTCCAGGGCCGAGTTCCGGTTGGATAGCTTCGAGTTGAGTTTTGACTTGCTCCTCCAAGAGCAGACGTCTCAGCCTCCAGTACAGAATCTTCCTCGAAGACCTCCAAGGGACAATGTCCTGAATGACGCCCTTCTCGAGCATCCGCTCGGGCAGGTCGTGGAGGTCGGCAAAGTGGACGGCCACCTGGTGGTACATGGGCAGCAAGAACTTTTCGCGCTCGGAGATCTTGGCTGCGATCGAGGGGTCGCTCGACAGACCTTGCTGCTCTATCAGATTGACCAAGGTTTGGTCGATGCGGCGCATGACCTTCAGAAGGTCCTTTTCCCTGAACCTGATCTCGACGATGCCCTCCGGCTCCAGGACTCCACCTCTGCTTTCGGGGTCGGCGTACATTTCCATGTGGCGCGGATTGATGGATGGATCGACGACGGCCCAAGCGCCTCCGCGAAGTTCACCGTTGGGCGGAATGTAGACGATGATGGGTTGTTTGTACTGACGAAGGCCGTCCACGATGTAAGCGCCAAATTTGACCACCTGCTCGTACATGTCCTTCATGCCGCCTGAGAAGCCACGCCAGTTGGCAAAAATGAAGAGAGGCAAACCCTCTCGGCTGAAATCTTGAATGGCCTGTGCGGTTTTGTATGCCGAATCAGGGAACCAGACTTGGCCGGCTTGCGAGACAGTCTAACATATAAAAAATATATATATAAGTAACAATTATTTTCATAAATTTTATATTAAAGCACCTTTGCTTCTGAATCTAGATTTGCAGGGTCGGCGGGCAATTTTAGCTCAACAGTTCTTGTTTCGACAGCAATGACTCCGACGGGAATGCCGCCCAATCGAGCCCTTCCACAAACCACAGTCTGCGCCCACGGTTGCAAAATTTCTTGGAAAGATCCGACGTCAAAGAAGCCAGATTCCCAGGCGTTAGGGTTTGCTGTTGAGTTTTCAATCAAATAAAGCAAAGCATAATTTTATGAATTGGTGATTTCTTACTGGGACTAGGGCGGCCAGCCAACATCCATCTCGGGTCATACGGTGCTTTGGTGGGCATGTAAGTTATGTCACGTTCGGTGGGATCGACAGGGGTGATTATGGGTAAGGGAGCACCTTTGCGCTATATTGGAAAAAAAAAACACATTAAAACCATTGCTATCAAGATTTAATTATATTACTTCTGGAATGTAAGAGAGCCACTGGAGTATCGTGTAAACACCTTCGAGGTCCCCTTTGGCAGTCGTGTGAGACACACCATTGTTGTACATGATCTGGATGCCACCCAATTGATTGTTGGATGCGTAAACCTCTCTTCCGAGAAGCTGGACAAGTTTTTGAATTAATTTCCCATCAATCATAAGTACAGCAATTTTTATTTACCTTGTTGAGAGCTGCATAGCCGGTGAGGATGATGTGGGAATTTTCAAGCTGGATGACACGTTGGCCGAGACGAACAAGGTAAGACCCGATGCCAATTGCGCGGCAACTCACCATGGAGATGGTTACGATATCTTGGTAAGCCTGAGAAGTTTCTCCAGCAATCATACCCGCATAACGAAGATTTTCAACTCCGAGACCGTCTTCCTTGCCTGCAGGAAGATTAATAATTTAATTAAACATCATTATGACTTCAATTAAAATTAAATCTTTACCGATAATGTCGGTGATTTTGTACCTAGCCTCCCCTTCGTCGTCAATCAAGATTGCGTGAACAGAGTTCATCGCGGACACTTTCTTGAAGTCTTCAGGAGTCAAGTAAAGGTATTTAAAGCCCTATTAATGCAAAATTTGAAATTAACGCTTTTAATATAAATCTAAAGGAATTTTTACCTTGTCGGGCTCATCAGGATCCTCCCATGCAACTTTGAACAGGGGTTTCAACTCATCAGCAAGACCAATTCTGGCTCCACTGTTTGCGGACAAATAGATTCGAGGAATTTTTAGCTTTCTTGCCAATTCAGATGCTTTCAAAAAGACGAGATCCTCATCCGGCCCGAAGGAGCCAACTCTGAATGTTATATCGTTGGAGATCACAATTATGTCTCGTCCTGTTGGATACTCGGGTGTGTACAGGGTGATCCTCCAAGCCACCATTCCCGCCTTAACACAACAATAATTAATTATTTTCAAAACAAAAAATGGGGGATTATTACATTATTTTCTCCAGGCAATCGTTTCTGTTCAACGAGAACTCCGTCAGCTTCAAGCACTAACTCTACACAGTCGATAACTTGGGACGGGATTTGCAAATCCTCTGTTATTTAAAAAAATTTAGTTTCTCTCATTCCAAAGATACTAAATAATTACCTCCTGGCCGACCTTCAATGAAGTCCTTCCACATTTTTTCAGTCATCTGCCTGAACATATCAGGATAGTCGTAAACATAGGTGGTTCCGGCGACTTGGGCTTGGAATCTCTTTTGCTGCAGGTAGTCCTTGGTGACATAGGGTGTGGAAATGGGCAGTCCGTGCAGAACTCCTTGACGGGAGCCATATGACTCAAATTTAATCTATATTGAAGAAAATTAACTTAATTATCAAATTGTAAATGAAAAAACTCACCACGCCTGATTTTGGATCAGTGATCTCCTTGTACAAGTTTATGTCCAGGTAGTAGCCAGAGTCATTGGCAAGACACAACCTAATGTTAGTCAACTTGCCTCCTGGTGACGTCCTGATGGTCATTCTCAGCTCGGCTTGCAGCACTCGAAGTTTCCACAGACGAGGGCCATATCTCAGCACCATGCTTGTGACGCACTCTTCAATCTAATAGATTTTTAAATAGATTAAAAATGAGACAATGCACATTTTACTACCTTGATTGGGTCCATGATGACAGATGGGACAAAGTTGAGGAAAATGTGGTTGCAGTCTGTGCGCCTGCTGTCCGGATGGGAGAATGCAACTTCCAGTTCGTCCATAGCTTCCAGAAGAACTCTTTCTCCTTCATTTTGCAGGTACTCGAAGGACGCCTCCTTTGTGATGAGGTCAGAATGACGTATAATGGAACGGATGAAGAAACGATAATCCGTCACTTCGAGTCCTTCGGCAACCTAATTTTGTTATTAATTATTTTCCTCGATTTTGCCAGTGAAAGTTTCAAGTACCTTTGCCTTGCCCAGGTACAAGTGCATTTTCTGGTTGGCCGTGGGCAGAGCTTCCAAGTTGTAATTTTTCATTCTGTTCAACTCCAACTGGAAAGCAAGGGCCGGTTCGAGATGCCTGTAAATCCTGTCCTCCCTGTAGCCATCGCGGTGTCTGAATGTGAAGAACTTGGGGAACTTTTGCCTGTCCAACACCAAGAATGTTACTCTCCTGATGCTTCTCTCCGCCAGCTCTTCAGCGTGATTTGCGCAAAATGCAGCCAGTTTTCGGGCCATTGTGTTGTCGTCCAAATCTTTCGAGGTTTGCTTCACGGCTACATTCAGAATGTAGATCGGCTCCACTCTCTAAAAATTGCGTTAGTTTTCACACAGAAATTAAATTTATTTAGCAAGCTACCTTATTGATTTGCTCAACGGCGTGTTCACCGTGAGAAGTGCTGATGTTGATAGAGGTCGAGAGACGACCTTCGCTGCCCTCAACGGCTTCCATGTCTCCGGGGGAGCAACAACGGCCGCTTGCCATGTCATCAAGAACGTCGAGCAGCTCGTCGGAGTATTTTTCAAACTCTTCGTAAGTCTTGAAAGCTGCCATGACTCCAGTTCTCTGGCAATTTTCAAAATCCAGAGCAACATCGGAGACCTCGTCAAGTCCTCCGACCCGGTTGTGGGGAATTCGGTTGGGGTGAGAAGAGGGCAGCAGGAACTGGAAGTGGATGCAGCAAATTTCACCAGAGAGCTCCAAATGTTCCAGTCTAGTCAGATCGTATGAAATGTAAGCTCTCCTCAGGTACACCTCCAAAGCAGCCATGCAGACAGCCTTATTTGTGTGATAGAAAAAGTCATGGAGAATGTCAAAGATCGACGTTTCTGACAAAATCAGCTTTTGCAAGTTCTCAGGATGAAACTCGTGGCCGTACATGTCGATTGCAGACAAGAAAATAGACTCCATCTGGTTGTGACGGAGTTCGTATGCAGGTTGGTGGGCAGCAATCAGAACTTGTCTCGCTCTCAAAGCCACCCTTGAGTGCTCTGAACGGTTAAGGGAGGTCAATTCACTGAGGGTCGATGCAAGTTCGTCAGTGAGACCGGGTTCGTTGGCCCAGAGGTGGTCGATCAGCATGGTGACCAGGACATTCTTTTTTGCCACCTGAGTGTGAGAGAAGATTGCGCTTGTAACTAATGTCATGTCATCCTTGTGGTTCTCTCTAATTGCGGAAACACACTTGTCATAGTGACCTGGTTAAAAAAGTTAACATTAGTCTCATCATTTGATATAAATTGAAAATCATACCGAGTTGGAATTGGCTTTCCACTTCGTAGTACTGCTTGAGCAATTCATGAACGGTGGTCTTCATGCGGCCTCGGATGCCGTTTCGGTATCGCTGCACCAGCTGAACAATGCCCTGAGTGGTGAGGAAGAAGACGTCACGGTCGGACCTCTTTTGAAGAGTGGCCGCATGCGAATCAATGACAGCAGCAATTTGCTGGCTGGGAAATTGAGCAAGAACAGAGGTGATGTTGCTCTGGTATTGAGACATGAGTTTGCGGATTTTCTTCTCAACCGACGGAGGGATGCGGCCGGAAATTGAAGAAATTACTTCCTGTAATTAGATTTAAATATTTTATGACTTAATTCTAATTCTTCGCAGCATTTTTTTTGTTTACCTGAAGTTCGAGGAGAGGAAGGCTGGGGTCCCTGAGTGAGCTCATGAACTTTTCAATGACCTCCTTGCAGCGAGGCACGTGATAAGGGTCAGGCAAGCAGTATCCAGCGAGGGTGTTCTCCAATTTTTGTCTGAAGCTGTTGTGGATGTAGTTGAGTTTCTCACTGTAGGTCACTCCACTTAGGCCGTCCACAAACGGTCCCTCGTATTTTTGAGCTCGCGTGACAAGACTGGGGTCATCGAGCTCGAGTCTGGCAACAAGAGTGCCAGCATCGAGAACGGCGCCTGGGCGCTTCTGTTGAAAGACGTTGCCACTCTCGGGAGCAGACAGGGTCATCACCATTTTCATGACTTCAATTTCAGCATAAGCTTGGCCTCGCTGCACGTGGCCTCCGTCATCCAAAAGCCAGCCAATCAGCTTACCAGCTGATGGAGAACGCAGAAGCGAAGGGTCGTTTTCTTTCTCAAACACGCACGTTTGATTGCCAATGACGATGCGCCAACGATCAACTTCCTCTTTCATGTAGGTGGTGAAGCTTGCGCCATCAATAGACAAGAGCAATCCTACATTGTATAAAAGTTACAAAATTTTGTTTAACAATAATAATATCTTGTTAACCTCCATCAGACATTCTATGGTAGTCGATTTCTTTGGACGAGCCGTTCATGATGAGGAAATATGACTCTGGTCCAGAACGGGTGACCTGAACTATGTATTTGAACCCTTCGTTGATCAGTTCTACAGTCATGCTATTCTCGAGAGTGTTGCATCCTTGAATCTGTCCCCTGAAGAATATTTTTAATTTAGAAAGATTTATATTTGAATATTTTAATTACTTTTCAAGGGAAGTCTTGAAATTTTGGAAAGAGGATTCGATGTTTTTATCTGCAATTTGGAGAGCACCACAAATGACGCCAAGGAGAATATCAGGCTTCTCAGCCTGCACCCGCTCCGCAATGAGCCTATCCAGCCACTGGGTGTTGATCACATTCGATTGGAAACTTTCAGTTTCAAGCAGAGTAATCAGATACTCAACAGTTGTTCGGAAATCACCTCTGATCGACAACTCCTTCAAAGCAATCACAAGATTTCTATAAAAAGAATGACCAAAAATAGTTTTATAAAATAACAAGAGTAAATTAAATAATCATACTCTCTGGCCTGTTCTCGGTCTTCGCCCCAGGAGAAACAATGACCAAATTGGGAGTCTGCAAACTCGTGCAGTCCTCCAGCAGCTGCCACACTGAAGTAGCCCCAAACATTTTTGGACGATCGAAAATTGAGCTCTTGAACAGTTCCCGAGCTTGGCTTGAAGCCTAATTATATTCAATAAAAAAATTAGAGGAAAACAAGATTAGACTCAAGTTCACCTTCATCGGGATTTTCACTTGTGATACGAGCAGCAATAACATGACCACAAGGCTGAGGTTTGTGCCTTGGAGTGTCAAAATCGATCTCCGAATCGCCCCAAGGTGCCTCATTGTACAGCAGCCTGATGTCTTTTATACGAAACAGTGGCAGGCCCATAGCAACCTTTTGAAATTATCAAGGTTTGTATCAAGGAAATTATTATTACAATACAAAATTACCTGTAGCTGAGCTGCAGGCAAGTTGACGTCGGCAACCATTTCTGTGCAGGGATGTTCCACCTGAAGCCTCGGATTCAACTCGAGGAAGAAAAAGTTGCCATCGGTGTCGTAGAGGTACTCAACAGTGCCAGCGCTGACATAGCCGACCATTTTTGCCAGACGAACGGCAGCTTTTTCCATTTGCTCAAATACTTCTGGAAGGGCAATCACGCAGGGCGCCTCTTCAATGATTTTCTGGTGCCGTCTTTGAATAGAGCAGTCTCGTCCGAAGAGAGAAATGGCGTTTCCGTACTGATCAGCCAGCAGCTGCACTTCCAAGTGGCGAGCGCATTTCGCCAGCTTCATCACAAAAATCGGAGAGCCAGGGACTTCCTGTTGCACCTGTCGGAAGAGACTTGGGAATTCTTCCGGACAATCGACTTTCCTGATTCCTTTGCCGCCGCCGCCCTCGCTGGCTTTGATCATGACGGGGAACCCAATTTTATGAGCAGCGGTCAGACCCTCTTCGGCACTCGTAACACAACCTTTTTTGTACAGCTCGGTGGAAATCTTGATTTTCTTCCCACTATACTGCGCTCTGAGTTCTAAAAAAGGAACGATCATTTAAAAAAAGACTTAAAAAATTAAAACAAAATCGTACCTGAACCAGACCACGGCAGTGTTGGAATCTCTGCAGTTTGCGCCACAATGCTTGAAGCAATTTTATCGCCCAGGGCCCACATGGCTTTCTCAGGCGGGCCGATAAATGCAATGTTGTTCTTGTGGAGCAGCTCAGGCAGTTTCGGGTTCTCCGAAGCGTGACCCCATCCAGCCCAAACAGCCTGATCAGTTTATATTTATTTTAATTATCATGCCTTTTTTTAAAGGGATGAATTAGTTACCTGGACTTGCGAGCGGAGAGCAATGTCGAGAATTAATTCTACGTTAGCGTAGTTATTGTTGTTTGTGCCTCCAGGTACGGCAACATAGTGATCTGCCATCTTTATGTACTCAGCATTAGCTAAAAAATTGAAATTATTCAATTTAAATAAAATTTTCATTTATTTTGACTGAAATTTTCATACAGTTGAAATGATTTAATTTAAATTTTCATGTATTTAGAATTATTTAATTTAATTAAATTTCCATTAATTTTTTATTATTTAATTAGACTTTTTTTTATATACAAACCTTTAAGATCTTCTGGGGTGACCATGACGACAAACCTGATGGCTCTCTCGTGCCTGAACATTTCATAAGACCATCGTCTGATGGACCGCATGCACTTGACAGCGCCGATTCCATTGTTGGCGATCAAAACCTGCAGATCAGCACGTACGCAATTAGGTTAGCAGGTTGTGCTACTTTGACGCAATTTTACCTTATTGATGACTCTGGTGCCGCCGAATTTTTTGACAAACTCCTCCGGAGTGGCCACGATGAAGTCCTTTTCCAGCATTTTCGCCTTGAGCACTGTCCCTTGGGACATGCTGGGCCTGAAACAAATTTTTTGTCATCATTATTGTTGCATGTCACACACAAAAAAATAAGAAAGAAAAGGGGACACGGTGTTTGGAAAATTTATTATCAGGAGGATGCAAATGAGAATAAAAAAGAGGCTGCAAAAAGGAAGTGCCAAGTCATCAAGAGAACACGTTTGGCGCAAATTGCAAAGTGCTCGATTGACGCGTTTGCTGACCTTGATGTCTCTCGGACGGAAAAGTATTTGTTTATCAAAGAAAAAGTAAAATGCAATAACCTATTGTGAACTCGCGAGATAATTCATGTAAATCCCGATCAATGCGATTCTATATTTTACTCGCAGTTCAATAAATCGCAACAAGGACGATTATAATTTCGCAATTAGCATTGCCAACTTCCAACTTGTGACGGAGGACGTGTGTGATCTATATTTTCCGCGAGCCGTAATACAAGTTGCTAAATTTTCCCCGACAGCATGAAAAACTTTCACCAAACGTTTAATTATTCCAACTTGCGGTAGGCTCGACGCAATTGAGTCTTTTTTATTCATTTTTACGACTGCCAAGGTTGTTGGAGAAAAAACTGCACAAAAGAGTTGTAAAAAAATTAGAGAACTTACTTCAGCGGCAGTTGCCAGATGCAGGCCTACTGAATTAGTCGTTAATGAGGAACATTTATTTTTATCAGAGATTGCAAATGATAAGTAGTGGCAAAATTGAAAGGATTTTGAGATCTTTACGTTTACGTTGAGATTAGTTATCGAACCTTTCGTGCTTTCAGCAGCCAACAAGGATAAAATTGACCTGCTAGAGAGTTCGAATTTCGAAACTTTCGCTTTTTAGCAGAATCAAGACAAAATAAATAAACAAATAGACGGAAATTTATGAAAGTCAGAGAAGTTGAAATTAAATCGAAAAAAAAGTATAAAAAAAGGAAATCAGGCTCTAAAAAGTCCATAATTTTCAGAATTTTTCCCCCTATGATAAAAAAAAAATTATTTTCCAGATTTAATTAATTTGATTTTAAATAAAAATTTCATCCAAAGAGCTTATTTACTAAAATTTAAAAAACCGCAAAAAAACTAGTGAAGCCAAAATCCACTTCCTTTCCGACCGCCAATTAAAAATAATCACACAAATCTCGCGTCCTAGTGAGAGCTTCACCGCGCGGAGATATAAAAAGCACGATTGCGCAAACCGGAAGTGGGGCATCGCGAACAGGTGCACAATATCTTCTTCTTCTTCAATGGACGATTGGATGAATCACATTTTTGACCTGCGTCTGAACGGTCCGTGGCTGCGAGTGACGAAGATCATGGTGCGCGATTTGGCGATTTACCGATTCGTGTCGGCGGCCGGCGGCGGCGACGTCGTCGTCGTCAAGTTGCACACCGAGTTTCTGGCATGATTGGCCAGCAAGAGCCGCTGCAGCAGCCTCATTAATCTGCGGCGACCGATTAATTTTAACCGAAGCCAATAATACGCTAATAACAATTTGGTAATATCACAACACGCGCTCAACACAAACATGTTGACGCGGGGCTATATTTACCGGCGCGTTTATGCTCACAGCACCCCCCTATGCAAATTACGGCAGACGGGAGCACTCGAAGGCTATAAGTGCAAGCAAGCTTTGCGCGAGATTTAAATTTTGCAGCACAGATTTGCGGCTTTAAAAGTTCTCGTTTGTTTCATTTTAATTTTTCGTTAAAATTTCGGACAAATTTTATCTGATATTTTAATATAGAAAAAACATGCATTTCTTGTGATAAAAAGTTATGATTTATTGAGGGTGATTTGAATTGTTTTTCTTATACACAAAACCGACTTTAAATCGAAATTACCAATTTTTTTTAAAAATATCTGTTAATTTTAAATAAAATGAAACATGTTAAACCAATGACAAACTTTGTGGGGATTTTAAACTGATTACTCTTTTTAACGGTTAACTTCTTGCATGACGAGGTCATAAATTTAAAAAAAGCTCGTCTTATAGAGAAATCGTAGTTCGTTTAATTCATGAAAAATTGAAACCGGGCGAATCTCGATGAAAAGAAAAAAATGACCCCAAAAGACGATCTGTGGTATGTTGCTACATTAAAAACCTAGGGCTTTTTCGTGTCCAAACTAAAACTAAGTGGGAGGAATGAATTAAAAATTAAATGACAAAAAAAATTAAATGGGGATAATTCAATTTTAATAAAAAATATTTCTGCAATTTTTGTTTATTAAAAATAAATTCTCACAATTTTTTAAATATCTTTTTTTATGAATTTTAGTTTTAGTTTGGCCACAACAAAACTCTAGGTTTTTAAAGTACTAGCAGATCGCAGGTCGCCTTTTGGAGTCAGTTGACCTTTATTTTTTCATTTTAAATTTGTAACAAGGTTTGCCTGGTTTCAATTTTTTTTTTTTAAATTTTAAATCAACCCCGACTTTTAGCATTCAATTTTATTTAATTTACTTTGAATTACACCGAGAATTTAATTTTTCTTTTCCTCCATAAGGATTTCCACTAAGCGTTCTCCTCTGTTTTCCTTAGAAACCGGAATGCCCACGCAAGGTTACCAAGAGTGAGAATTTCATTTTGCACTTGTTTGCAACGAGGCCAGTTCAACAATTTTTTTCCAAAATAATATTGACAACAGCTTTGTCCAGAAACTTCCACAAAGTTATATAATGGTAATTATTAACCATTTAAGGTGTTAGTAAATAATGTAGCGGCTCAAATTAGTTCTCAATTACGACGTCAGCAGAGATTGTAAAAGAGTTATATTAATTACAGAGGACAGTGTAAACACTTCAAGGAGTCATTCTGTTTCTTCTTAAAAATAATCCAACCAAATTAAAAACTTTTAATTTTTTAATTTGCTACGAAATGAAAAATTAAACAATTATTGTGAGTTAAAATTTTTTTAAAGCCCACAATCAGGACAAAGTTGAAATAAAATTTGGAAAGATGAAGATTTTTTTTTAATTCTCACAATTAAGTTAAAATTATAACTATGCCATTTCAAATTTGAGCCCCTCTATATTGCCCCAAATTGACATTAACAAAAATTGTAAAATAAAAATTATTTCCACCAAAATTTGGGGAGTGTTTAAAGACTCTGTCTGTTACGTAAGTACTTGGAACATTAATTGACAATTAGGTGAGTGAATTTTCAGTGGGCTATTTGCTTTTGTTGGGCACCTTTTGCGATCCTCGGGAGGTCCCTGCATGGTTCGTGTGTTCGATCTCAAGCGGAGGCGACGACCGACATCAAGCAGAGCACATGTGTGCGTCGCTCCAGCGTCCGTTCATGACTGGCATTACGTTCATTTACACGCGAGATTTGTGCGCTGCCGCTGCAGCTATTGAATAATAATAATACCACTTTTCTTCTCGACCGGTTGCAGTTGTACTAACCTCAGTCTAAAGGCTGAATAGTCGTGCATCTCGCCAATAAAATCGCGTTTTGCTGCGACGACGGTATTAAGACAACAACAACACTCGAGTGTTACTGCATCGACCGGAGAAAGTGGCTGCGTTCGGGCCCGAGGAATCACGACCGATTTTACACCTGGCGATGGAATTCGAAGAGAAACCACCTGATTCTCTCTCTTCAAATACCTTCACAGCTGCCGCGAATTGCTTTGCTCGGCGCAGAGGGCGGAGCTGCCGAGGTAAACATCACGCCACTTGCGCATTCGGACAAAAATGTATATAAATCTATCTCGCTGCTCCAGCCATGCTAACAACTTTATTTTTTATTTTTTCTCTTTTTTTTTGCCAAGTCCAGCTGACCTTAGCCGGTTTCCTACCTCAATAAATGGCTGCTCAAGGACAGGTGATTTAAATTGCATCCGAGATACAAAAACATTATGTTAAACATAACAAAAATATTGTTAACTTTTTAATTTATTTACTTATAAAAACTTCAAATTTTAAACTACTTTGTGTTAAATAATTCCATTTTTGTGCAAGGTTGTAATTAAGAGATTCAATTTGTTTACCATTTTAAATCGTGAATTAAATTTAACAAATTTCACCGGAAATAATTTTTCAATTATAAAATTTTTTGTTAACGTCATAATCAGTTCATAAGGCTAAATTCAATTTTATTTTCAATAAATAGTGCCGATAAAAATCTTCCATTCGTTTAGAAAAATTTGTTGAATCAAGAGATCAGGCATGATAAAAAAATTTATTTTAATTCAAAACCAAAACGGCTCTACCAGTTCCCGTCTTGGCCTGCGACATGCGACCCTATTTCATGAGCAGGAAAAAATACAAAAATATCAGCAAAATTGAAGAAAAAAAAACATTTTAAAACAAAAAAATTTACAAATTAGTTCAGTTTCGAGTGTTATCGTTCAATTTTGAATTTTTTACAACAATTATCATTTTTATTTAACTTTATTTTTAATCATGTTACTATTATTGCTATTATATTTATTTGTAATGAATGTAAACTCCAGTATTACACTACACTTAGTGTGTTTAATAAATACTCTAATCTAACAAATTAGTTGTTAGTTTAAAAAATTTTATTTATTATTATTTTTTTTTAATTTTGCTGATTTTTTTCTTATGACATCTGATCGCAGACCGTGACCGAAACTGGCAGGGACGTTTTATTTTAAAATAAAAACAATTTTTTTAAGCAGGAAAAGCCCGATCTCTTCATTTTCCTTTTAATTCCCTATTTTTAAATTGCCAAATTTTATAACCTACTTGACGTTGCATTATTTCCTTTCTATTCGATTGACGTGAGCGAAAGATTAAACTGAACTAGCCCTCAGGTCAGTTAGGTCATTAATCGCGCTCTCTCACAATCAGCTGTGACCGATTCACTGAATCGGCGCGCGCGCGTGATAAATGGATCTCTCTCATGTGCATGTGCGCCGCATGCAATTAGATGATGATCAATGGATCTTACTTGGGCATTAAATGTCTGACCCGGGCACAAGGTTGTTTGGGCCAAATTATTATCCGATTTCATTGAGCTGCAGAAAGAAATTTCTGCAATATAATCCAGACTTCGGAGCGAAAATCGTTTTTCAGTATTTTAATTTACATTTTTTTTTTTGGAGTGCTCAATTATTTCCTATTCATCACAAAAAGTTAAAATCATTAATAATTAAGTTATTTGTTTAGAAGTTTTTTTCTCTTATAGATTCAAATTATTAAGTAGATTATTAAATTACGGCATTTAACTCTGCAGTGGTGAGTCAGCAGGTGGTAACAGAGTTTGGAAGGACTATCAAAAGTTACATAAATGGAGTCAGCTGATAATCTGATCATTCGGTCGATTGACCTTGGTAAGAGATGCGCCCCGCGGACCCTTGCTACGACCTTTTGAAAAATGCAAAACGCGTGATCCCAGCACTCAAGCGAGCATCCAAAACAACACCCTTTTATCATGTGCCAAGTTTCTGATTAAATTTCATAACCGTTTAATTCATTGGGAGTGCCAAAATTTTGGGTCTTGCGCCTTTTCAATAAAGGACTTTGACCTGAAATCTCAAAACTTTTGCATATCTGATTTTCTTTTTGATAAGTTTAAAAATGATAAAAGAAGGCATTCTATTTTGGTACTGGAACGAAAACCAATTCAACGGTTTGCGATATCTAAAATTGTACACAAATGAAATTTTTGTTTGGAAATTTGATTAATAAGCCTAGCATTTAAACTTATTGTTATAAGTCTATCCTGATAGCAAGTTTGAAGTTTTTTAACTGGTTTAGATTATTTATTTACATTAATTAAATATTACTAGTTTTTAAATACTCCGCAGTTTTTATCAACTTTATTGCTGCATAAATTGTTAAATTTTTCATGCAAATAAATATTTGATTGGTGAATCGGTCAACTCTGCGAGCTCTTTTTGCCTGTGACTGTACGGCCAGGCAATGCCCCTCATTATCTAATATTCAAGCGGTAACACAATAGAGGGGTCTCGGGGTCAAGAGGAAGCGCCGCATTTCTGCGTGCACGCCTGGCAATAATATAAATATAATATCGACGCTGCTTGGGTTTACCTGAGTCTCTTCCTGCGTTCATTGGTGCTGAATGTGTTGCCGTAAGTGATCGAGTCGATGAACGAGTCCTGCCGCTGCAGCTCGGCCAACTCCTGAAGGTCCTCCTCCTCGTCCTTGGTCTCCTCGTCGCCGCCAACAAAAAAGTTGGCGCGAACCTCACTGTTTTCCTTCTCCGCCATCTCCGCTCCTGCAACAAAGCAAAGTTTTTTAGTCATTTCAAAAATTTACAAAATTATTAGAAAAAATTTATCTCGGAAGTGTTAGCAAAATTCTTGCAAGTGGTGGTGCCGTTTTGTCCAACAATTCCTTTCTTTCCAAACTGTTTCCAAATAAATATTTTTCAACAATTGAATGTAAACAATGTGATGTAGCAATTTGGACAAATGAACAAAAAAAATAATAATAATTTAATTATTAATTTACATGGAAAAAGAACCTTAATATTATGCTGAAAGTTCTGAAGAAGAATATTTAATGAATGAAAATTGCTGAGGATAAAAAATAACTAAAATCTCGTTAGGACCAATCATGCGCCTATATATCTGAACAAAGAAGACAGAGAGCCCTTAAAGGTGGTTTTGAAACACCAACCTTCAGGTTCTGAAGGCGCCTCTTGAATCGGTTGCGGCGCCTCTGCGAGCTCTTTCTCTTCTTCTTCTTGCTTGTTAGGGCCGAAGATTCGAGAAAAAAGTGACATGAGTCCTGCAATCAGTAATATTACGAGGATCAGTGCCACGAGGTCCATCGGCATGAGAGACGCGCGGCAGGGTCGTCCGGACAACAACACGTACGGTTCGCAGCGCTATAAAGAGAGAGATAACGACAAGAAGTGCAAGGACAAGGAGCAACGAAGCTCGCGAAAAGTAAAGAGAGAGAGAGGACCAGATAGGAAGAATCAAAAGAAGTACCTAAATTGACCCCTGATTGAAGAAAAAATTTAATGAGAAAGAGCGATGACCATGCATATTTGATTTAAAGGGCTGTAAAGAAGACTTTAATTGATTGAAACCAAACTTGTTAAAGTTTTGAATAAAAAAATTAAAAAAAAAGTATTTAAAAAAAAATTACGAAGACAATTAATTTAATTTTATTGTATCCATTGTAATAATAAAATAAAGTTTTTACATGACATATTGTTATATGGCAAAAAAAATCAGATTTTTCTTATGTATTTATTCTGTGTGAGTGGTTCAAGTAAATATCTGCAATGAAACGTCTGAAATAAATTTACAATTTCGAAAATAAACCATAAATCTAATTAAATAAAAAATTTGTTACAATTTCACGATCGAGGGTTGATTAAGGGTGATTTGAATTTCGAATCGGCTTTTCACACGTTTCAATATTCTGATCAAAGTTATTATAAAAATTGATTTGTTAAAAAAAAAATTAGAATATAATGGTCAAATTTTCTGTTAAAAATTGTTTTGCGTAAAAATGTAGATTTAAATAATTTTTCACATAAAAAATTGTTAATTTGAAAGAAAAATATTTATGAAAGATCGATTTTTGTACTAATTCTTGTCTGTAGCCCGCAGCCGAACCATATATAGAGCAAGATATTGTTTTTTCAATAAACAACTCAAAAAACACATCGAGAAAAAGCCGTTTTTAAATTCAAATCACTGAAAAGACTAAAAAAAATTAAAAAAAAATCCAATTTACAAATTCATGTAAAAAAATTAAAAATACATTCCAGGAAATGATTTTATTGTCAATCATATTATTCTTTGAAGAAGAAAAAAACCGTAAATAATAATACATATAAGCCTAGAAGCTTCGAATGAAGTGATTTTACATTTTTTTTTTAATTTAGGTCAAAAGCCTCAATAATACAACACTTAAAATAATTTTAAGTATTACTTTAGAACAGCTAAAAATTCAAGGCAATTATAAGAAAGATCTGGACCAAATTATGATTGAAAATTTATAAAATTTGATTGTTAAAAACTCACACGAAAAGCACCAAAATACAAAACGCGAAACAAAAAGTCATGCGTGCAAACCTACACTGAACACCCCAGTGGCTGCGCTCCTTGTGCACCGCACCACGGATGAAGTCGGAAGAAAGAGTGTGGAGAAGCGCGATTGCAGATCAACCAAGATTCGGCCCCCCCTCCTCAGATTACATGCGATATATTAGATTCGGTCCTTCCACCGTGATTTTTCACGTGTCACTCGCGCAAAGAAAAGAGCGAGCCAAGAAGCGGCTAAGGGAAAATTACCCACTACTCACGATTACGAGGCGAAAATGACTTTCAGTCACTCGAGTTAATAGGCGCGGACCTTCTGCACACGCACGACGTTGAATTGATTCAATATTGCGTAGATTGAAGAACATGTGCGTTTGATCGGACGGGAGGTAGCGGCAATAATTATGCAACTGCAAGGTCGCGAGTGCAATAGGTGCTCCACAAGGAATCTTGTTATTATAAATTATATCGGATTTGATATTTAATTAAAAAAAGCAAATTTGGCAGCAAAATAAAAAAATAATATGAAATTGATACAAAGAAAATATCAAAATTAAAAGATAACAATAATTTTTAGTGTGCGTTTTTTCTGTTATAATTTGTCTTTGTTCGTGTTGTGAAATGTGTAGGTTTAATTTTTAAGAGGTTTTTACGTGGTTTTACTGAAACTGAGGGAGGAAAATTTGGCCTGGATTGTCGTGATTTTGCCCAATTCCAGGGCTCATAAGATAAAATTTTTGAGTAATTTAAGATGAATTTCTTAATTATTATTATTTTATTATTGTTGTTTATTTGTCAAAATTGTTTAAAATTGACAAATTTAATTTAAATAAATTAAAAAATGTGTTATGTATTCCATTCTTTGAAGCCGAGTTTTTCTTGCACAGTTTCTGTAAAAAAACACGCAAAAGCCTCTTGAAAACAATAAAAAATGTGTTTCTGTTATTAAATTGTTGATTATATTCATCCAATTCTCACAACCACAGTGCTTAGACCTATTTAGGAAGAATTGAGATTTATGACTAAAGGTTGAAAATTTTCATCCAAATTTAATTTCAAAGCATTAGCTTTCTATACGCAAATCCAAGTAAACATAATTTTTTTTATAAATTTAAATGTTTCTGTATTAATTAATAACCAATTTGTGTAAACAAAAGAACAAGATAATTTTTAAGAAATTGTATTTATGAATCCGATTTCCATATTGTTTTTTTAAATAATACATTTATAGCAGTAAAGAAATTAATTAATCAGGAATCCAACAATGGCAGAATTATTTAAAATATAAAAAAAAATCTGCATTACAATTCTTGTCCAAAAGATTTTTACAAATCAAAATTTATGGCTATAAATTCAATGAATATATTTGCTTCAAAAAATAAATTATTTTTGAATAATTTTAAATGTTTAACTATTTTGGCAAAATTTGAGACCCAATAATTAAGATTGAACAACAAATGTTAATACAAATGAACGACTGTGACAAGGTTTTGGAGGCAAATACCTTTCCAACACCAAATTTCACTCATCAAACGGTTAACTATGATAAAAATAAAAGCTCCTGCCTACTTTTAATGCACCAAATAAAGCGCCAATGCACTCGAGACCTTGTGCGTTTTAGAAAGTGCATTTCCGTGCTTGCTTTAGTCCATAATCGGATCATCCTATTCCGAGATTGTATAAAAATAAATCATCATTTTAAATAAATCTGATTTTTAAATCAAGAAATTAATCAGAAAAAAAATGGGTTGGATGTTTTCGCCCTTGGCCAATCAAGACCGACCGGTTTTTGATAAGGTTAGGTCAAGAAATTCTAGCTAGCAAACGTGGAAAACAGAATAATTTTGCAATGGGAAATTCTCCACGCTTTGCTACTTGCAAAATAAATGAAAAAAAAAGAGTTAGAGGTGGAAGACGGAGATGGCAGGCCAGAGATGATTATGATCCATTGCTTGGTGGGCAAAAAGTTGTGCAGTGCAAGAGGAACAATGAGACGACCAAGGTTATGACGTCGGTGAAAAACTGCTTTTTGTCCGCAACACCTCACTCAAAAACGAAAAGTCAGCAGTCACGGCTTTAAAAGTGTGTGATTTGCGAACACGGATATTAAAGAGAAAATTACCTGACCTAAAAATAGTTAAATAATTTAACAAAACATTAAAATTAAAATCTATAAAATTTGTACTAAATATAAAGAAATAATTTATTTAATTAAAAAAATATATAAATTGATTGAAATAGGAAACTAAAAAGACATTAAATAAAATAATAACATATTATGTTGGAAAAAGGCTGATGTTTTTCACAAAATATTAAATTAAATAATATTATTAAATATTGTTGTAGCCAAATTTATGTCTAATCATTGTGATTGTCCTTTTTGGAAAATATAAATTAAAAAAAAAAAAAAAATGATAACATTAACTTGTACAACAGTATTGCAAGACGAATTATTGTAAAAGTGTTGATTTTTATAGCAAACCATTGCAAATTTCAAATTAATTTATGATTTACTATGACATAAAAAGATTTTAAAACATCATCAGGCCATCGAAGAATCGAGATCAAAATTTTTTGAAAACTATTAACTAGCATTTTTTTTTTTTATAAATGCAATGCAAAATTTATACAAATCAATTATCCAGCTATGAGATTGAATTTTTGAATTGTGTTTTTCTTCAATCTGGGGCAGATCTGGGGGTGAACACGTCAAAAGGAAACCCAAAATTTGTTTCCTGTTCAGTGCGGAGCTTGCGAATCACGATCAATTTTGACAGGAAAATAATGCAAAATCATGAGAGAAACTGGCTGAAATGAAGCGAGAAAACCACAGAAAAAAATTGTGACACCAATTCAACCGGAGCAATTTCGCAATTTTCGATTCCTCAAAATAACCACGGACTCACCAGAGGGACCAAAGGATTCTCCGGCCGGAAAGGTTGACTTTGCGCCGCCTTAGTCGCTCGATTATGTTGTCTACGGACGAATTCACCGGTGCAGTCCCATCACGCCTTTTTGACAGGGTATGACTAGTTCAATGTCAACGACGTCAACGTCAACTTGACCGCGGTACCGTCCGACGAAAAACGTCAACACGAGGGACCAAAATAGAACACTTTTCGTATTTGGCCGCGCCACACCCCCAGGCACCACCGAAATCAGACAACCTCCCCCACCACCCGCAGGCCTGCAGGCAAAATTCGCATTCCTCCCGTGTCCGATCAATTGGATCCCTGCGAATGACACTCAGGTCGAATTTTTCAGATTTGACCCCGTTTTCGATTTTCTACGGCATTTCCAAGGTGAAATCAATTTATTACAAGAGTTGTCTTGATGCATTGCGTAATCAGGCGATGTGAGGCGATCAAGATGCAGGGCTGCCAACCGAAATTTGGCACGATTTCAATTGGCGACCGTGTTTAAATGTCAGACTAGCCCGCGACGCATGTGCGAAAACACAAACAGCAGCACCTGATTGCAGAAAGAACAGGCCAGAAGCTATCAGAGATGGACACCAACCGCGGCTGCATTGGGAAATTATTATTTTGGCGTTGAAAGTTCATATTTATGCACGATGAACTTTCCGACGCCGGGGGACTCAGGCGACCTGGGCTATTCGCTGAACGGAGATAGCCTCAATGGCTCGGTCGTGTCCACCACCGAGTTCATCCTTGAGGAGCAAGTACACCAAATGTCGCTGGAGCAGGACTCGGCCTGCGCCTTCGACTATCACCACGAACAGCAGCAGTTTCCTGTCGAGGACTACGAGTACTGGAATGAGGTGATATTCGCAGAATTTAGAACAAAAATTCAACCCTGCTCATTCGAGAAATTATTATTTTATCAATCAATATTTTTCAACATTTGAAAATTTTTCACTTTTGGAGGTTAATTTTAATTTTCGATTCCAGGATTCAGTCATAAGTGAGCTGACAGCAGGCGAGGTGCGCTGGTTCTACAAATCGGACACCGACAAGCGGTGGACCGAGTTCAACGGATATGATTCGCACCAAATCGAGTTTTTGTATCGTCAGTACAATCAAGAGTGGCTTCAGGTCTACACGGAACAACAAGGGAACGGAGGCGAGGGAGTCGGCGTCAAAATTCCCAAACACCAAATTGTGGTCAGGGGTGGAATGTACGAAGTCGACGTCCACTCTTGGAAGGGCTACTCCATTTTCTGGCCTGGTTTGAATTTATTTTACTTTTTGAAATTTAATTGTTGAATTTAAACAGGCGAGGAGTTTCTGGTGACCAGAGGAACGTGGTTTTTTGCTGCAACCTGGCAGCCCGTCGAGTACCCGCATTGTGATACTATCGAGCATTCGCACCTTCAGCTCTTCTGCGGTCAGAGACTCTCCGACTACGCTGACACGAGTTTGAGTCAAAAAGAAGGTAAGATTAAAAATTCAAATATATGTAACAAAAAACCAAATAAATAAATTTTCAGTTTGGCATACGGAGCAATTGCCGGATTTCCATGTCGATTGGCACTCGCCGAAAGATGTTTTTCTGCATAATGAAACTGCTCCTTCAAAACTGATGAGAAGCGTGACTCAGAAACTTGGATTCCAAAAACGTAGACATTTTATTAACAAAAAGAGTTGCCCTAATTAAGTTTATCAATTGCAGCGACAGGGTATCGTTTGATTAGAGGATACAAGACTCCCGCTTTAGCCACCGACTCCGCCGACAGAATCACCGACATCACCCACCTAGTTTTTGTGATACATGGCATTGGTCAAAAAATGGATATTGGAAGGATAATCAGAAATAGTAACAGGTTGGTAGGAATTGGAAACTTGATATCTCGTTTCCTTATTGCTTTTTTTGTAGTTTTCGAGATTGCGTGACTTGGCTGCAAAAAAAGTATTTCCCCGACTCTTCGGATAGGCCCGAGTTCTTCCCTGTTGAGTGGCGCACCGCTTTGAAGCTCGATGGAGGTAGGAACCTTCAAAGATAAGATCTATATAGTTATGTCAAAACGTTCTTACCTTATTAGCATATCAGCTATTTAATTTCTATTATGACGAAGAATCTATTTTTATTATTTTCATTACATACAAATTGGTTGTTAGATTCTTTTACTGTCGATGTGAAATAATGCCTCACGTTTTATTTGTTTAGCTTTTAATACAGTCTTAACCTACCTCTTACCGCATCTCTACAGAGATAATGTTGTGCTGGTTGCATACTATCGATCGTGCAGGCGCTCTGTGAAAAAACGTCACTTCCATTGCGCTTTTAAAACTAACTTTTGAAAATTCTTCGTATTCAATCATTTCGTTTTTAAACAAAAACTACAGAAACTGCATTTAAAGCACTGAAATTAAAAAATAAATCTGGGTAAAATAAGCAAAGTTAGAATTTAAATTTAGAAGTAAATACGACCACATCCATGGGTATTAACATCACTACGGAATTTTAAACTTAAATGAGTAGCAGATGGGGGCGCATTGCCTTCCGAGGTTTCCTTGGAGGAAAGTCCCCGGACCAGGGTCAGAAAGTATCGTGATTCAAGGTCACCGTCCTGCAACATCGCTAGGTCATGGAGGGGAAGGGGTCAAACCTGGATCCGTAATCTGGTGGTTGCGTGGTTCTCGTCAAAGCACAGTCATGCAATGGGCCTTAGCAAGGCTTACTTGATGGGGCTTATCACCCTTCATCTGCTACTTTTTACCCATAAAATAAGAATTACAATTGTTTCTTTCAAGTTAATCGCAAATTTAATTTTGTTTCCTATGATATATTTTTAGACCTCGTCTCGGCAATCACTCCACTAAATTTGGAGAAACTTCGTTCCTTGCTGAACGCCACTGCGATGGACATCATGTATTACACAAGTCCACTGTTTGGACAAGAGGTTTGTTTTAATATCCAAAAAATGAATTTAAATAATTTTTTTTTTTAAATTCAGATTCAAGCTGGCCTCTGTCTTGAGCTCAATCGTTTGTATTCCATGTTCCTTGAACGCTATCCAAATTTCAAGGAAAATGGAGGAAAGGTATTTGAAGAAAAATTTAAACTTTTTTCAATTGATACCAATTGATTTTTTTTCAGTGTTCTGTGATTGCTCATTCTCTCGGCTGTGTCATTGTTTATGACATTGTGACTGGATGGTTGCCAAATGATCCTATGGCGTGCCTCCAGGTAATTGACACGGATTATGAATATTTTTCAACTAATTTCAATTTTGTTTCAATTATTTAGAAGGCAAATAGTTCAGAGGGAAGGGAAGAGATGTTTAAGAAGTCGGGCTTGTTGTTCGAGGTAAAATTTGTATTCGATCATGATGATTGTTGAATCACCAAGTTTTTTTTCTTTCAGATTGAGAATCTCTTTTGTCTCGGGTCCCCGTTGTCAGTTTTTCTTGCACTGAGATGGAAGGATCCACATGAGCCAGAGAATCATGATAAAGTCGTACCTCCGAAGCTGTGCAAGCGATTGTACAATGTTTTCCACGCTACCGACCCTGTCGCTTACAGGTAGACACAATTTTATTTATTTAATATTTTTCTAATTATCCATTAAGGTTGGAGCCTTTGCTGGTCAGAGCCTACAAAACGATTGCGCCTCTTACCCTTCAGCCATACAATGCCAGTGCCAAAATTCCGTACGACCAGATGCCACTTGAGCCGATCCAGACGGAAAATTTACTAAGTAGAAAATCGGCCCTCGGAGGCGGTGGCGATGCATCTGATAGAGATGAAATGACCCCAGAGCCAATCAGCAGCTCCATTCCATCTCCACCGACACCCTCAAGAGGTACAGTGAAGAGCAGAAATTAAAAAGAACTTGACTAATTATAAACTTAGTAGCCGACCGATGGAGCTTGTGGAGTTTGATGAGAGGAGGTCGTCGCTCCGTGCAGGCCGAAGGGAGTCACGAGCCAATTTCTAAAGGTATTGAGCATTTTTAATCCGCCTATTTAGATATGATATTTGCAAAAGAACCACGGTCTTATAGGTCTAGTTACTAACAAACCTATTTTTCCATTTTTACCTAACAAAAATTAGAAGGCTCAGGATCCCCAACTCATCATCATGAAAATGCTTTGAGAGGTAAAGCAAGCATGGTGTCTAGAATTTTCAGTGTTTTTGCTGCATTTCATTTTCATCTTGCCCAAGTGTGCTGTATTTATTTTATTTTCATTACATTTTTTAGTACCTTTTTCTCTTTAAAAGTTATTCTTTGCTTTTAAAACGCTCTGAAATTTTCGGTTCAAAATATTGTGTGCATTATTCTAAACTCACAATTTCCATCAGGTCTCGAGCATCGTCTGGATTTTGTTCTGAGAGAAAATCAACTCGCTGCCAGCTATTTCGCCGCTCTGACCTCCCACACGGCGTACTGGGAGAATTATGACGTAGCATTTTTCATTCTCACCCGCTTGTTTCCCAAACTGGAGCAGGAGGCCCAAGTGCCGACCACAGTTGAGGGGTAAGGCGCATTTAAATTTCAAATAATAACACAGCGTTCACCGAACGATTTTATATAATTAAGCATGAGAGTGATATTCTTATTCTTTTCACGTTAGATCACCTAGCATTCAGAAGAATAGTCGGCTCGTCTAACACGATTAGGGTCTCATCACCTCCTTTGTTAACTTCATCTAGTTCTGAATGGGGCATTGTTTCGTTGAGTTGGCCTACAATCAGTCGTATTTCATGAATCATTTATATTTTGACAAGTTTATTTTTTATTCTAGTCTTAATTAATTGCGACCAGCTCAAAATACGTTTTGATTTGCTCTCGTATTACTCGTGACACTCCTATGCTCTCACATGAATATTCAATTTTTTGTATCCATTTCAATTATTTATGTGATAAATTCCTGCTCTGCTATTCCTTTTAAAATTTATTGCTGTCTTAGCACTTATTTTCATAGAAAAATTATAGTTTTTCTATTATGCTGTATTTTAGTAGCCATATTTTGCCAATTATAATATTATTTAAGAAACAATTGATGCATTGTAATGCAAATGTAAAGCATGCATAATTTTTTCCACTTTTGATACGGATAAATCACTCGATTTTTCAATACATGTCCAGTCGATCGAATCTCACACTTTGTGCCTGTGCCGATAAACAAAGAAACGAACATTAAATTGTGATGTCACCTCTGCTAAATAGCCAGTCAAAGTAATGAATAATCAAACATGTGTGTGTGTGTTTCATTGGAGGTATGAACCGGACTCTCCACCGGAGTTCTGTGGCTGAACCCTCCAGTGGTCCGGCCTCTCCTCATTCGGCCAGCTTCCTCCCCCTCGCGGGACAGCATTTTTGCTGTATGCTTATTACACAGGAATGAGAATATATCATGTTTTCAGGTATACACACAAGTCGGAGGTCAAAATTGTGATACTGTGGTTTTTTTAAACAAACTGTTGTTTGTGGATTTTGATGCAAGTGTCTCTGTAACTAAATATTATACCAAAGTCGTGTAGAAAATGTCGATGAGAAGTAGTAGTCAGTTTTTAGTCATGTTTCGGGTAGAACTTGTTGAATAAAGTGTTATTATACTAACTAGATCTGTGATTTTTTTTTAAATACAAAAGAAACCATTCATTTGTTTATTCAGTAGCTTTTTTTAATTTATTTTGGTTTGACATTCTCATCTTTTTGAAAGTGAAATTGTGCCACAATACATCGTTATATCGTGATTATAACAAAATATACAAACAAAAAATCCCATCGTTCATCTTTCATTATACTGCATAGTTTTTTATTCCACCAGTGAAACACAGCGTTGATCAAAACTATTTATATTTGTTTTATCTTCGACAATCTCAGCAGTTAAATTACCGTTACGCACGCAACAAAATTTTGCCAAAACTCAAGAACACAAATTCCTGACTAGAGCTATTTTTTTTTTATATTCGTCAAGCTGCTGAATTATTTTAGGTCAATGCAGTGTATAGGCTGTTAGGTTCACGTAATTAATAATTAAATTTTAACTAGAGATTCCAAACCAAAGGTGCCGAGAGGGACACAATAGGAACGAGTTGATAATTATACCTTTTTAATAACCCTGCACTTGCGCCATGGTTTTGATAAAAAATATGAGCAATTTGGCTTTAAAAAATAATACACTCAAATGGCAAAACCTGACAGACACGCACCACACTAAAGATGATCTCCTTTTGTTTCACAAAGCACATCGGATGACAGTTTTTTTACAATCCTGATGAAACAATTTGCCAAGCCAATTATTTGTGCTATAGTGAAGGAGAGCTAATTTCATTTAACACATCTAGCTGAACAATAAATGAATTAAATAGTATTAAATAATCACCATAAAACCTACAGTGAATAGGGGACAGGACTAGTATGTATTCAGCTGTGTGTGATCCAATAACTTTATATAGTTCATCATCACAATTCTTGGAGAGACGCCTGAGAACTTATTATACCATTTATACGAAATAAAAAAAGAAAATCACAACCTCTTGATAGAAAATAAATAAAACAGAGTGTATAGGCAATTAATTAATATGAGAGCGTCTCTCCGTTCACAAGACAAGGCAAATGAAATTTCAGCCAATTTAAGTTGATTATCCAGTCTAATCCTTACCAACTAACAATTTAACATTCAAAAATGAGTTCCTAAATTAAAGTAGAGACACTTTTCTCTTATTTTCTTCTTTTTGTGATCTCTGGTGCTGCTCAGGGAGATATGCAGTTTTGAAGCAATTATTACATTTTTTTTTATCATCGTTAACCAACACTCGATTCGCTGCCCAGAACCAGAAATCAATCCTCCTCCTCCGAGTTGCTTTTCACGTTAATTATTACTGACGGAGATGCTCAAAAATTCTACTCGACTACGCATAAGTAGATGAAAATAGTTGTCGGTCGATTATTCAGTTAATCAGGGGGAGTCAATTCATGTATAAGTTTTATGTTGTCAAAGCTGCATCTGGAATACACGCGACGCAGCTGCCGGCTGCTTCTTCTTTTTTCTTTTTCTGGTCAAGCAGTTGAAACTAGTTGTTGAAGCCAAAAAGCAAGAGTCATCGGGGAGGCGCTCGTAAATTCATGTGCTCGCTTCGGGCGGAGGAGGTGGCTGGCTTATCTCGTCCAGGGCCATCGGATGGAAACGACGACACCTGAACAAATTTCCAATAAACTTTTTGTCCATAATTCTCCATTTTAAATAAAAAGAAATATCCGCTTCTAATCAGTTTTTATAATATATAAAAATTTACAGGCAAATCAACAAGAGCCAGATGTTAAAATAAAGATTTTGAATTAATAAAGCAAAGCAGCAGCTAAAATGTGAGTTGTGGGAACTAATTTTTAGTAAGCAGTTAAAAAAAAATGAAGTTTTTCTACAAAAATTGAACAATCTCACCTTGCTCTGTTCTCCATTTTTGGGTCACCAGGAGGAGGTGGTGGGTTCGGAGATTGCTGCTGCTGCAGTTTGTTGGCAGACGAGTCTGAGTCTGCCTCACTGCTCTCCTCACCTCCTGGGTTCAGGCCCAGCAGGTAGGTGGGAATGCCGCGCGTCTCGCGGTTAGTGACAGAGCCACCTTGGGAGCGAGGCCTGCGGAACGTGGATTAGTCATCAATCAGAGAGCCAACGACAGGACATGCTGAGAGGCAGTCTGTGCTCAAGAGGAAAGTGTGAATGGGAAGAAACAAAGTCTGCTCATGAGATGTTGTGATAGGTCCAGTCAAATCATAAAAATCTGTACAAAATGTTACAGGGTTCTTTGTATATATAGTTTTGAGTGAGTTTCCTTTGAAATTCATCAATTAAGTAATAATTATGATAATCTATTCTTGCTATACAGATGTAAATAGATTTAATATACAGTTTAATATCTTAAATCTACTTTAATATTTTGTCCTATTATTGCGGAAATTAAACTGATATTATAATTTCAACATTACCACTCAAAACAAGGGATGAAATTAAATCATATTTATAAAGATATTAAAAGGTTGCAGTTAATTAGAGTGCATAATTATATCAGTCTTGGGATCAACAAGGCAAATATGAGGAGCGACCATTTGCAGAAGTATATTTACACAGCAAGAGCGAAAGAGAAATTTGCGAGCTTGGTGCGGGTCCTCACCTTTGCCTTATGGGCACCACAGGTCTAGAGTCACACGTCATGATGGCCGTGGTGGCCGAATTCGGCCGCGGCCGTCGCCGATGGAAACGCAGGTTGAGCTGACTCTCGTCGGTCACATACTTGTCCCCCTGCCGCCGACGCCTCAGGGCCGGAGTGCAGCCTCCCAGCTCTTCGTCCAGCTGCGCAGGCACGGCCGGGGCCGTCGCACTTCTCCGCAGCAGACTGGCCAGCATTCGTTGCTCCTCGTCCGAAAAACGGACAGCGCAGTTGCCGTCCAGCACTTCATCTCTATCACCCGAAAAACTGAAATTCAAAATTTAAATGAAATTAACCTAATTTACCTTTAAAATTTTTTATAATTTTTAACTGTAAAATATAAATATTTGACTTCAAACGATTTGAATTTATAAAACATATCTTACCACAGACTAGCCCTTGGTGGGCTATTCCTCACTGGCACTGGAATTTTGCTTCTGGAGTTTCGCTTGCTGTCGCCCTCCTCACTTCGGTAGGAAAGAGGTTCTGGCGTGACTTCAGTCCTAGGAGTCATTTTCCTCGGCGAGACTTCATCTTCGTCAATCTCTTCGGCCTCCTCTTTGATTTCCCTTTCCGTGCTCATCCGCTGACTAGGTTCAAGCGAAGCCGCTCTTTCTTCGGCCTGAGTGACGGCGTCAAAATAAATCGACGGGTCATCAGCTGCGGTCAGTCCAGCACCAGGGCTAACAGGACTGCGGGCCTTCACCAGCCCAGGAGAACTCTCTTTGCTTATGGCTGGATGAAAAGTTTGGAATAAATTTTGAGAGTTGAAAAATAATGTAAACTCACAATTGGCAACTTCTAGGGCGGAGCCGCTACTAGACTTGAGGATGCCCTTGGGTTTGGGTTTGTTGTGGTCGAATCCGTTCTCATGCACTATCTCAGGTACAACGTCTGGCTGCTCACAATCAGGTTTGGAAACCACCCTGATCTCCAGCCGGCCAGAAACAGGCTGTGGCATGCACTCCTCTTCTGACTTATCACCCGTTGGAGAGGACAATGGAATGGCCTTAAAAAAAAATGCATCGATTTTATTACGGGTCAAGTGAGGAAAATAATAATAAAAACTAACAGGCAAACTGGGCCTACGAAGGGCCTCTTTAGCCTTTGTCTCGTCATCTCTCTCGTCCACAGTCCTTCTGCAAGCTACATTCCTCATTACATCCACTTGGTAGACTAAATCGTCAAATGCAGCTTGTTGTAACAAGGGCGCCTCCAAAGCTGGCCTGAGGAATAAAAAATAATAATTAAAAAAACATTTTCCTGATTAAAAAAAAATAGTTTAAATTTAAACAAAATTGACATTCCAAAATGGAACCAAATTATATGGAAAATATTGAATTTATAATTTAAATTATTAACCTTATGTGAGGTCCAATGTCTGGGCAGCTCCATGCCCGAGGCAAAGCTCCCTGCAGTTCTGGAAACTGCTCGATGCCAGCTATATGCAAACATGCCAGTTTGGGTTTAGGCGACAACGACTTTTGTCTTGTGGGTGTCGACAGGACTGCAGTGGTCACCGTGATTCTGCCCTCGACAGCATTGGTCACCTGAGGGACAAACAAATTGTTTCAAAAATAAAGCAATAGAGGTGTCATTGGAAGTTGGCCAAGCATCATGTGAGCGTCGCAAACAATAGCATGCAGATTCCAAGCAATGGGTTGTTTGGGTTTTTTGTTTTTTATTGCTTCCCACCTTGGCAACAAGCCTAATCAATCGATTGCAAAAATAGCCCAAAGGTAATTGGGTCAAGGTCAACCTTGCAACCACAGGTGAGTAACAATGTATGCAAAAGTACAAGTAATTGTTTTCTAAGGACACCAAAAATGAATTTTTATTGGAGGAAATGTTCAGATAGAAAAATTGAAATTCATAACGCAGAAAATGACTGAATGAGTTTAAGGGAATTTTTATTGAAACTTAATCACTACATGATATACTTGTTTTCAATTTTATTGGTGTCCAAACTTAAAATTACACATGGGGTGGAAACAAAATAAATGCACATAATAATAAACTCTTCATATTTCTAACCAGGTGAAAACTAAAGAAAATGACAAGATATGGTGCCATGTAAACTAAAACAGAATTGAGACTAGAACTTAAAACAGAAAACTAGATTAAAAAAGCCAAGGCTACTTATCAAGAGACGTACAAAATCAGTGCCAATAATTCTCAATAATAATCCTAGCAGCATCGTACCTGATGGCACATGGCAGCCGGTTGCTTGTCTTGCCGAGAATCTTCACTGATTCTTGACAGTTCAGGAGGGACTCCGTTCACAAGTTCTTCTGGTTTCTGAACAGGAATCGGTGCCGGCACATGAAGAGCAGCTGAGATGGGTTGCCTGAAGGAGCGGTCAGTCATGAGGGCAATGGAGGAGTCTGCAGGCAGGCTCTGCAAATTCGACAATATTTATTTGCACCCTAATATTCAAAATTTTATACCTCTCGGTTGTGGGCTCTGTGTTCTGGACTTTGCAGATTCTCCTGTTTCCACTCATTGTCAGTTTCCTCCGAGTCATCAAATTGGGATTTCCACTGCGAGGCCAAAGTTAGACCTGCAACATTTTCAGAATGAAGAAAAAAATTAATAAAAATAATTTTCATATTATTTTATAAGAATAAAAACTTATAATTAAATAATTTCTAGGCCAAATTGAAATTTACCTCCGCCACCCCTTGTGACTTGTTGCGACAAGTTGTCATCGTCGATGAGGGCGTACTGGGTGATGGACGTGTCAGCGCCCATTCCTCTGTGTTTGCTTCGACCAGCAGAGTGGAAACGCCTCACTCTGTGCGGCGCCTTTTCCTTGAGAGGCTCTCTTGGGTCGATTGGAGAACCTCCAGTTGCACTTGCACCGTTTGCGCTCTCTGGCCCTTGTTTGCCTGCAGCAGACGAGGCGGCAACACTAGTAGCTGCAGTTGTGACTGCTGCATGCACGACAGCACGAAGGAACAAAAAGAATGAGAAGAGAAAAAGCATAAATGAGCAAGAATGTGTTAAACAACTTCAGTAAAAAAAAAAATACATTTAAAAAAATAAATTTAATTTGGATTTTTGAAGTGATATTTGTATTTACTCTACTGCAATTTAATAATAATTGTGGGTAAGTGCCGAGATGGAAAGTGAGCACAAGATTTAGATTAAATTGTGGTTTTTGCGTGCAAGTACCTGCTCGGGTGACATCATAAGAGTAAACCGAACCGTCGTACTCGGTCACACCTTCTCTAACCCTCGGGCTTGGCAACTCAGGTGTCGTTTCAGCTTCAGCCTCCTTGACCCTTTTTTGGTTGTCATTTCCCATACCTGACGGTGCAGAGACGGGTCGACCAGACATATTCACAGCCATGACCTCACCATCTAAAAATTACGGAAGTTTCAAAAAAAGTTCAGATTTTATTACTGCATTTTGATTTACCAATGTCACCAGTGGAGGCTCGGGCGCCTTGCTCTGGCTCGTCTCCGGCAGTCGTTCTCCTTCCCGGTCTCCTCTTTGGCGACTTGTCCACCTCGTTTTGCAGTTTGTCCACACTGACAACGCTTGCATTGCAGTTTCGGTCCACAACCAATTTTGCTTCACGGCCATCTGTGCGGAGGTCTGTGCTCTGCGGCGTTTCCTGAATGTAAGCGTCTCCTCGGCGCCTCCTTCTGCTCGCTTCAAAATCCATTTGAGCCTCCAGTTCCTTTCTGTTGTCCGGTTCGATATTTTCCTGGTTATTGTCAAGACTGGTAATCATGTTGTCCTCAACGTGATTATCAGTAATGCGACTAACTGGCAGCAGTCTGCAAAGCAAATTGAGAATAATAAGCATTTTCGTCCCAGAAAAAAATTATTTAAGCATACCCTGTTGTCGGTCTGCTAATAAGTGCCGGGGATGGAGAGGTTGTTGTGCTGATCGGTGCCAAATTCTCAGTGGTGACCTTCTCCCAGTCGTACGGGTCGGATTCCTTGACCCCTCTCCTTTTCATGCAGCGCTCAAACAAACCAATCAACATCTGGAAAATATTTTTTATAGAGCTTGGCATTCTATTATAAATTATTTTGTGTTCTTACTGCATAGTCCGGCCTTTCAGCATATTCTAATAACTGGATGTGTTCGAGGAACTGCCTGAGATCTGAAGGAAGGTGCTTGAGCAGCAGTCTGTGGTCATACTTTTCCTTCATTAAGCCAACCTGCTCCTTGTCTTTAATTTTCCGCCACGGCAACTGGCCATTGACAAACTCGACAAGCATGTAGAAGAGAGACCAGAGATCATCATGCCTGCCCATTTCCTAGAATAAAATAAAATGATTGTTTTCTGTAAATTTTAGACTTTTTTAAATCTGATAATATACCTTATTTTTGTGCGCATTGATGGAGGCATATCGAACGGTGCCTCTGAAACCAGCTGCTGCTCGCGGAGCTCGAACTTCGCCGGTCGCCGTTGTATACTGTCTCGCCAAACCAAAGTCCAGCATGTAAACTCTGCGGCAATTGTGAGGCAGTCGACCCATTGAGAAATTCGACTGCGGAAAAGGGATTGAAAAAAAAAATCGCTGACGGAGCAAGAAGTAGTCTTACCGGTTTTATGTCTCTGTGGAGAAATCCGACCGAGTGGATGCTCTCAATGGCCCTGAGTATCTGCAGTCCCAATCTCAGAGTGGTGGCCAGCGAGAAGGCACCCCTCGGTTGCGCCCGCCTCAACTCGGCCAAGTTCTTCCCTTGCAGTTGCATCACCACGTAGTTAAACCTATCGTTACGACCACAGCCAATAAATCTACAAACGTGCTCTTTGCCTGAAAAAAATTCCCAAATACATTTTCAATTCTCAAATCATCTCTTGAAATCCCACCTTGCAATTTTTTCAGCACGGCCACCTCCATCTTGAGCACCTGCTTCGGCTGGCGGGCCGACTCGACCTTCAGGGCGACCTGCTCTTTGGTGACCAGGTCGAGGCCCTCGTAAATCTCGCCGAAGCCGCCGCCGCCGATTTTCCTCGACACCTTCCATCGCTCCTTGACCACGTGGCCAGGCTGCAGCAGGTCCTCGCTGGTCATCTTGATGTTGTTGTTTTGGTCACCGGCGCGCTCTTCCTCTCCGGACGAGTGAAACTCGTCTTCGTTTTCCGCCTGCTGCTGCTGCTGCTTCAGGTGCGACCGTTTGACATCCCCTTGCTGTTGCGTCCTGAAAACACACAAATAAAAAATAAAAATTAAATTGCGTTTTCTCATTAAGCAAATAAATTTAAATTCATCTAATTCTAAACACTAAAAGAGTTTAAGACATAAGACTTAAAACTTTAAACAAAAGTAGTTTTTTTAAAATTGAAATAAAATTTTACATAACATTAAAATTATTAAAAACTGTTCAAAAAATAGCAATTTAATTTAAAATTTTAAAATTAAATTAAATGATCTTAATAGTTAAATATTAGAAGATAAATAAAAATTTTAAATTTGTACACATTATTTGTAGAACACTATTTTTTTTAGGTTCCAATTTTTATTTTTATTTTGAACAACTTTTATTTATCTTACAATTAAATAAACTTCATTTATCTTTTCTCCATTTCTTAATAACCATTTTTATCCAAACAAAATATTTGGATGCTCTGGCATATTCCTAAATTTTATTAAAAAGTATTAATTTTAAAAAATATGTAGCCAAGTAACTTTTATAAAAATCACGTAGGTAGAAGTCTCGCTTTAGAACGACAGGGCCGCGCCGTGCCACGAGCCATAAAACCCCATCTTTACTGCCCAGCCGTGCATTTTGCCTAAACTTGCTGACTTTGCCGATTTTGCTCTGCCTTCATCTCGTCGTCTGTGCACACTGCATGATTATTAACAGAAAACGCCGATTTCATTCGAGAAGAGAATTAATTTAGCCGGGGCGGAATCCGGGGGGCTGTTTCATCTTCTTTCCGAGAGTTTATTCGAGGAGCCTTCAAGTCGGCAAGCGCTTGTTTCGGTGGCTGGCCAGCGGCCAACACCTCAGCCAACAACCTCACAAAATAATCGTCCCAATAATACAGAGACCGGCTCGGACACACGTTGCCGCTTTTCGTGGCAATTAGAAGAAGAAGAAGAAGGCAGCCTTCGTCGGACGCTCATTTTGGGCCCCTCATTTTTTTCCGCGTCGCAGATTAATGGTTCTAATTTTTCAGGTTGAAAGAGAAGCACAATGAAATAGGTCAGTGGATAATTTAAAAAGTTTTTTTTAGAAAACGGAAATTAGAAAATATCACTGTTAGAAAGTAAATTTTCGGACAGTGCAACTCATTGAACATTTTATTTTTAGTCCGGCAAGATTTCAAAGGTCGATTGTATAAACTTTTGAAGGCACATTAATTTTACTTTTTTAAGTCCCAAAAGCAGTTTTTCCATAACCTGGCCGTAAAAAGTGTTCAACACGCAACTTCTGTTGTTATATTTTTACTCGGCAGACAATTATCAGGCTAACAAGCTTCGGGCACGGCACTTTTGTTTGTCCAACAGTTGACCGCGTGTTTCATTACGGCGCGTAATAAACCGAAGCCGTAAATCGCGGTCTAATAGAAAACTGCAGCCGTCTGCTGTCGGGCAACAAACTGCTGCACCCACCCGGCGGCCAGACGGACAAATGGACGTTATTCGCGGTGCTAGACAAGGAAGGGTTCACGCCGGGTTCATCGGCGCTCGCAGACGCAGAGACGCCCGTCGATATGTTCCATGCCTTGCTTGATGCAATCTAACTGGAGCGGCAGATTATTGTTCGCAGCACGAGGGATAAAAGATAAAACTTTCAAGCTGCACTTGCAAGGGAAGTCAATAGTACCACCACTTTGGTTAAACTGCAGCAAATGCAGAATAAATAAGATAAAAATATTAAATAAAAAAATATTAATAAAATTTAAAAAAAAAACGCTTGGATTTTTATTGACAAATAAAAATTTGAAATGTTAGCCAACTTAGATAAAAGGTTATTACATTTTAATGAATTAAGATTGTTTAAATATAAATATTTGGAGAAATATCTTAATTTATAATAACTTGCATGCTTCAAGAAGATCTTATCAACTTTTATATTCAAATACTGTAGTACTGACATTAAATTTCCTCTGTATAAACCAAATACGATTTAAATGAATGATAATAAAAAATGTTAAAATCGAAGAAAAATATTTGCGGCAAATAGGGTTTTTTGATCTACAAAGTTTTAGCAAATTCTTGCTAGTCGAGGTGCCGCTTTCTCCAAAAATTCCTTTTTTTTTTTCAAATAAATTGTTTGCAAACAACGAGATAAAACAATTTGGACAAATTAACAACAATCATAATAATTTGTATTTAATTTTAATGCACTAATTTGTTACAATTAGTTAAAATTGTCAAAATTAGAGGCGATTTGGTTCATGTTTTTTAGAAGAATATTTACAAAATCTACTCATTAGAAGTCTAGTTCTAATTTTAGTAAAAACTAATGAAATATAACAATAACAATCATTAAGAAAAGTCCTGTTCACTGTAACACTGAGCAAAATATTTACTTCTCGATATATGTATGTGCGTAGAAATAGAAAAGTTGGAGGTGTGTTTGTTGTTTGTCGAGATAGATAGTAAAAATAAAACGCAGTGCCCTTGTTTCGCTTTTCGCGAAAACACCGGGCTCTGGCAAATTAGCAAGATTGACACGCGAATTAGCCAAAAAGATCCAGGTCGTTTCGAAACACGCCCGAATTGTAATGTTTATTGGGGCGCGACCGCAGATCATGTGGTGCAGTAAAAAAATTCGGCCATTCATCCGAGTGCGCCACCGAGCCAAATTCAAAATCAATTATTGGGCACGTCTGGCTGAAAAGAGCGCGAAACTTATTTCCGTCGGCCTTAAAATAACACGCGGTGCTTCGCAGGAAACAAGTCACTTACAAACTAACTAACCGACGTCGGGTAATTAATTATTAAAGCAAACGCCGTCCCGGGAGCGCGGGGAGTTTTTTGCTCGGTTTCGAGGCGCGTTCCACTGCGGAGAACAAAAGACAGCAAGAGAGTGCGCCGGCGACACCGTCACAGAGAATTATTTTGACGGAAAATGTCCGGGGGGTGAAAAAAAAATGTTGGGAAATTGCAGAGAGCGCACTAATGAAAATCATGGCAATTAGTTTGAAGTTTCTCATGTAAATTTAGTAAATATAATGATAAAATTAAAATTTTTACGTTTTAAATGGACACTAAATTGATTGTTCTTCTAATTATTGAAATTTTTGAAGCTTTTCTAGAATATTTTGAATTAAAAAAAAAAAAAAAACTGCTTTAATAATACCGAAAATGCATACACACATAGTCTTAATTAATTATAATTAGAGTTGAGAGCCGAAATATCAAAGTTGAGGTGCATAAATATTATATTTAGATTTAAAATTTCAATTCCAAGCAAATATTTATTAAATTATTATCAATTTATTTACGAAGATATTATAATTCAAGAAAGCAGCAAAAAGGACTATAAAACTGCAAAGAATTTTAAGTAACTTTAACTGTGCATTCATTTTAAAATTTAAGAAAACAAATTTACAATTAGTTATATCATGTTTTCTTAATTTGGTTTGAAATTGAAATAAATTTCCAGGGTCGTCTTTGGCGTTTTATTATCTCACCGAAATTATTGTTGGATATTATTAATAATCCATCCCTAAGTAAAAAGTGTGTAAACTAAAAAATAAATTAAATAGATTTTCTCTTATTTTGACATTATTTTTCAATATCAAATTATGTCAAATTCAGTATAGGGCGCACGAGATTTGGCCTGAAAACAACCCTCTCTATTAGATTTGCCCACACTTTTGCATAATTCAAATTCCCAGCAGCATGTTGGCGAAATAAGAAGCCCTTTCGTATCACTCGCTTTGCATGCAATTTTCATGTTTTTTGTCTGCCTGAATTATGCAAGAGGCCCTACAAATCAAAATATGTATATAAATAGTCAATTTGCAGAGGTGTCGAGTCTCGTAATACAAATTCTCGGCACGTTCTCGCGACTCCCCCGAATGTACGGCAATGGCAGTGCCGAGCAAATATTGATTCCGCGATTGCATTAAGGTCAAGGCTGACGCAGCGGCAGCAGCGGCGGCCGCCGCCGCCTCGAAATCACGAAACCTCGCATGGGAAATCAGGCTCGCTTTTGGGCAGGGCCATTTCGAATTAGGCGAAAGAGGTGCGAACAGCTGATGACACGGCCCCGGGGTCGCGCCGCTCGATCGCACGCCCAGTGCTGACGGGGTGGAAAAACCCACCACCGCGCGAGAGGGGATGAATGGGAAGAGGTTGAACCTCTGTGAATGGAGATTATTTTGCAGAGTCGGTTGTCAGGGGCGGCTTTCGTCCCGTGTGACGTTTAGCTGACAGTTTGAAATAAAAGAAATTGCCAAGATGCAAGAGACGCGCTCGGGGAATTACGACGAGGAAAAAAGAGAGACGGCCAGAAAATTTGATTTCTAGTTTCACTGATTTCAATGAAAGACGCCCGAAAATTTTTACATAACGTGTCCTTATTATTGATGAATTAGTTAAACAATTGTGGACGTTTTTAATGAAGAATATTAAAAACTAAAAAACAAAAACAGATTTAACCCTTTTAAATTTGTTTTTCGTTTTTGTTTGTGTAGAATTTCACCTCTGGATAAATTAAAAAAAATTAAAACAAACTATTTTGAGTGTGGTGTTTACTGATGTTTTGAGTTTTTATTTTTGCAAGTTTTCATCAGTAAAATTAAAAATCACTACTGAAAAACAAGAGTTTTACTTTAAACGTTATAATAATTTAAATTTAACCATGAAAATTCATTTCCAAAACATAGGTTTTTTTCTTGCTATTTTAAAGTGAACCTTTTCCTCTGGATTTCAAAACTTCAATTATTTTCCAGTCTAAGAATGTTAAAAAATCTTTTAATATTTCTATGAATTTGATATTGATTACTATTTTGTTTAAATTTTGCTTTTAATTAAAAAAAAAAACTACCATATTAAAAGTATATTTTTACTCTTGACCATTTATTTCTACTCACAATTTCACCATAGTCCATTTTCGGATCACTTTCACTTCAATCTCGTACATGTCATACGAAAGGAAAAAATACTCACGACGGATCTCATGTCGTCCAATTTTATATCAGATAAATATAAAAACCAATCGAACCCAATAAAACATTC